TGATGATCATAAATAACTTCTCTCGAGTACATTTGTAGCTGAGAGCTGCTGACAGTGAATATACTGTCTATGTCTGGACAGTATATACGTACTGTTCGAGGGATCTAATCTGACCAGAGCGATTGCATAATTCTAAGGGTTCAATGTTACCTTATGGATGGAATTATAACCGAGTACATTTGTGGACTGCAATAGAAAAAAACAGCCTGCAATCCCCGTAGATGATACAGCAGTTTGTACTACCATGAAGATGCAATCTACAGCAACGATTAGGACACTTTCACCATCCTAGTACGTTGCAGCGTTGAGCAGTAGGAGTACTTCTCTCCCGAATCATCGTCCTCAAAGACCTCTCTCAGACGGAGCTTTCGTAGATGACCACTCTGATGACCTTCCTCTTGGCTGCTGAGGGCTGGAGAAGTTCCGTGTCCTCCAAGGAACCCAGGAAGGCGGAGTCGTCTTTCTCCTCGTTAAGATGAGCCTTCAGGAGTTCGACGATCTTGGTGTCGTTTCCCATCTTAGGATCCAACTTCGACAGCGCCTGAAGTCTGTTGCTTAGCTGGATAGCGCTACGTAGTTCCTAAAAGCAAATCAAATTTGTAGTAGATGAAAACGAAGAAGAAGAAGAAGAAGAAGAAGAAGAAGAAGAAGAAGAAAATATTTCCTGAATCTTAAGCCAGGATAGTTATTAACCCAGAGAATTCCAAGAAAGTCAAGCCGCATGACTTATATCATTCGGATTATATAGGTCCTCTTCCCTAGGATGTGATCCACGATACCGACTAACATCTGGGTACCTAATTACTGCTGTGTAAACAGGGGTAGTAAGTTTAAGGAGACTTGTCCATGCGTCTTGCCTAGTTAGTCTGGGCAATAAATATGCGTTCTTTAAGTTTATATAGCGTGAGCTTCATTTTTTGTAACAAAATGGCCGTTTCCCACCAAGGAAAGGAGGCCCAAGAAAGGAACAGCACTTCCACCATCACTCACTCCATCACTGTCTTGCCAGAGGGACGCCGATACTACAGTTCAAAACTGCAAATATCCCCACACTTTTTTTTCAGAGTGCAGGCACTGTACTTCCTATTTCCAGAACTCAAGTCGGCTAACCGGTTTCCCTAGGCCACTTTCTGACATCTGCCACTCAGAGCTCACCTTCAGATCCTTCATGAGGTGGACATCAATGTTGATGTCTCCTGCTTGCTCCCCGAGGCGTTTCAAATGTTCTGCCAGCGGCCCTGACAGCTCCCCCAGACGTCCACTAAGCTCCTGCTAACAATGAAAGTAACCTGGAGTTCTCGTAGAAAATAAGGGAGGTAATGGAAGTCGCGAAAGTCCTACAAAGAGAGTATGTTTGGTTATTTACGCAGACTCTCAGCTGGACAGCAACGAAAAGCTCCCAGATAGTTTTGAAAATAGGTTGGATAAATACATGGGTGGGCGTGGGTGGGTGTGAGTTGGACCTGACTAGCTTGCGTTACTAGGTCAGATGCCGTGCTCCTCCCTTAAGTGAATGTGACTGACTTGACTAGATGGAAATAAATGGTATAAAATACTGACACAATGGCAATATAAACACAAATGCAGTATAATGTGATCCTTTATTGACTACGTTTCGCCCACACAGTGGGCTTTTTCAAGTCACAAACAGAACTACCTGGGGTGGAAGGAACGCGAGTATTTATAGTCCGGCTGAGGTCAGGTGAAGAATGCTGCATCTGATGATGTACCGAGTTGGGTTGTAGAGTCTAAAAACTTGGGTAGCTTGGAAAGGAGACTGGACAAGTTGGTGAGCAGACCTTCTACAGTGTTCTTATGGGGATGAGCGGGTGAAGAAGTTTCTTGGCAAGTGGTTCAGCTATGTTATAGAAGCCACTATTCTGGTTGAGGTTGTCGGATATAGAAATAACAAGATGATTCCAGGATTCTTCGGTATTGAGTGTTGTCTTCTGTGGCGATAAGTCTTGAGTTTCTGTAGTTTATCAAGTGGTTGTGTGAATTAACGGTGTTTTACGCAGGCATCCTTGTGTCGTCAGACCTGCTTGCGTATTGTGTTCTGAAATTACGTGTTTGGAGGTCCCTTGATGTTTCGCCCACGTATAAACTTGTTGCAGTCATTACAAGGGATTATGTATACCCTGCAGAGGATGGAGGCTTGTCCTGCCTACTACTGGTGATGTCCTTGATGGTCGTGGTTGTGGAGGTAGATACTTGGAATGATTTTTGCAAAGATGTTGGAAAAATGTTTGGCATGGAGTTTGGGGGAAAGGACTATGTATCTCTCTCGGCAGTGTCTTCAACACACCCAGAGAAGACACTGCGAGAAAAGATACATAGTCCTTCCCCCCAACTCCATTGCCAAAAAATGTTTCCAAACATCTTTGCCAAAACATCATTCCAAGTATCTACCTCCACAACCACGACCATCAAGGACATCACCGTAGTTTGCAGGGCAAGCCTCCATCCTCTGCAGGGGTATACATAATCCCTTGTAATGACTGCAAACAAGTTATACGTGGGCGAAACATCAAGGGACCTCCAAACACGTATTCAGAACACCAATACGCAAGCAGGTCTGGACGACACAAGGAATGCCTGCGTACAACACCGTAATTCACACAAACCCCTTGATTAAACTACAGAAACTCAAGATTATCGCCACAGAAAACAACACTAATACCGAAGAATCCTGGAATCATCACTTATTTCTATATTTCCCACAACCTCAACCAGAATAGTGGCTTCTATAACATAGCTGAACAACTTGCCAAGAAACTTCTTCATCGCTATCCCCCATAAGAACATGTTTGAAGGTCTGCTCACCAACTTGTCCAGTCTCCTTTCCAAGCTACCCAAGTTTTTAGACTCTACAACCCAACTCGGTACATCATCAGATGCAGCATTCTTCACCTGACCTCAGCCGGACTATAAATACTCGCGTTCCTTCCACCCCAGGTAGTTCTGTTTGTGACTTGAAAAAGCCCACTGTGTGGGCGAAACGTAGTCAATAAAGGATCACATTATACTGCATTTGTGTTTATATTGACTTGACTAGGTTAGGGCATTGGCTTAAGCTGGTGGGAGAAATGGACCTGCCTCGCATGGGCCAGTAGGCCTGCTGCAGTGTTCCTTCTTTCTTATGTTCTTATGATGAACCATACCACGGGCGGGTATAGAACCCGCGATCAGAGAGTCATAAAACTCCAAACCGGATTTTTATGACTCTCTGAACGCGGGTTCTATCCCCGCTCGTGGTATGATTTTAATTGCAATCGTGTCATTACGATTTCGTGAGTCACGATAATGAACATCAAGTAGGAGCTGAGAAATATACTTGGTTATTATTGATCTTGCTATGTGTTGGGGAAGGAGCAGTGATAAGGATAGGGACAGAGAGAAGCATAATCTTTCTCGATAACTTTATTTACTTTCAGACTGCGCATTGAGGGGCTTTTACGGTGAACATAAACTTCCGAACAAGACCGTTCGGCAGTTTGTATAACAACGTGTGGTTACTTACCCTCATGTGTGGCCTATTACCTTCATAAGAGGCCTCTTACTTTTTAAAAGGGGCCTCTTACCCATAAGAACCCTCTTACCTCCATAACCCCTCTTTTTTCATAAGGGCCTTTATGTTTGAGGAGTCAAAATTGGATCTGCATTCTTACCTTCCTGTTCCCCACTCTCAGGTACGTTTTCTCACCAGTTCTATGATGGTTGATTGGGGGCATCCGATAGAAACAGGTACACACCACAGAATTCTGTCCTCTTTGGGGGTGAAAGTAAATCAGCTTGAGCATTTAGGGGACTTGACTGTACACCCCCACACTGATGCAATACCACCTTTTGGTGTACACATCAATTTGAGTGTTGAAACACCCTTGATGACACCACATTGAATTAATACCACGTTGATTATGCACCCTTTAGGTAACTCTGAGTGTAAACCAAACTTTTTGTAACACATCAAGCATGCTCCCCTGTTTAAAAAAAAACCTTTTTGAAGATGATGTAAATAAGATGGCCTTTTTACAGATAAAAACCAAAAAAAATCATGGAAATGAAAGGAAAAAAAGAAAACTGAAAACATGGAGGGAAAGGGGGGCTTTTGCTTTCCCCACATTCAAAACCACCTTAATTTTTTTCATTTTGGTTTTTTTTTTATTTTTCGTTTTTTATTTGACTGTTTTCTCTCCATTTTTATTTTTCTCAGTTAAATTCATGCTATGTTTTAGATTTGCCCCATTTATTTTTTACCGTGGGTTCTCCTGTAAACTCTATACAATGGACCACTTGGGAATTTCAAATACGACAAAAGTAGGAAAACAAAGGAGGCCGCAGAGACAAACAGACAGAGACATAGAGTGAAGCCAGGGAAGTTACAGAAGGGAGGTTGGGAGACAGAAGGGAGGGAGGCAGGGACCCTCCCAGCAAACCGGGGGCTCCCCGACCCCAATGGTTGCAGGTGAGAAACAAAGTAAAAAGCCCCCGAAAATCCATCCCCCCCACAAGATAAGTGCTACCTCCTTCGGAATGTAGAGTAGAAGGCTCCCACTGCCCCGAGGACCCCCATCCTCGCGACCCGCCAGGGCAAACTGCAATGCTTTATTTCTGGAATGGTGAATGGTGGTTACCAGGGGTTGATAGGGGTATCGAAGCAGGTTCCAAAAAACTTAGACTTTAAAATTGCGTTTCCCTAACTTTAAAAGGTTAAGAATATTTTGCAGTACTTAGATATTACTCAAGTTCCGAGACCTGAAAAAAAAAAATTCATTTTTAACTTTGACCATTGAATAATAGGGTCAGAGAAGAACACACAATTGGTATCACCAAACACTCATTTGCTCTTGCATTGAAAGGGAGTTACAGTGCCGTTAACGGAGTCAGTCAATTTTTCAGAGCGGGGGAAAATTAAAGTCCCTTAAAGATCACATCCTCTCACCGGCATAAAAATCGCCTCTCTTATGAGTATTTATTTTTTAAAATAGTTATCTTTCACTTTTGTTCTTATCCCTCTCCATTAATTAGTTACATTTACCTACTGTTACAATATACTACATTAGAAAAAAAGCATTAACCACTACCGCCCTTCATGAATACATACACGGGAGTACACTGAGCTTCAAACATGTAGATCATATCGCTATACCAATAGCATTAAGTCTTGCCTTAGCCGGAGCGCAGTTCCTGGTGAGAGTTCCCAAGTGCTTGGACATCGTGGAGACCAAGTTGGCGAAGATGGTTCCTAAGTCAGCGATGACGGTGAGGGTGACGGGAATACCCACGAAGCCGAAGAGGATGCAGAAGACACGACCCCAGGTGGTTACAGGGGCCATGTTGCCATACCCTGCAGCAAGAATGTGAAAAAATATGGTCACAATGGCCATACTGACATGCCCTTCAGGAAGAACATAAACAAAAGGTGACAATGGCCATATTGCCATACTCTGCAGGACGTAAATGTTTGTTATCTTGTTACCTAGCAATATTCTCTCTCAGGAACACGGAGAACAGTGATATAAGAGCTGGAGCAGGAACAGTCTGCACTGGGACTACATTTGCTGTCTTCCATACTTCAGGTAGTCGCCCTGTTTCTATAGATGTGTTGAAGATTGTTGTTAGTGGTACACATAGCGCAACTCTGCTCCCTCTCTCAGGACCCATGGAGAGATGTTATCCGGCCCCATTGCCTTTGAGGTATCTATCTCACTTAGTAGCCTCTTCACTTCTTCCTCGGTTGTATGTATTGTGCCCAACACTTGATGGTGTGTGAGGGGGGGTTGTATGTGTGTGTGTGTGTGTGGGAGGAGGCATACTCCACACGCAGCTTCACGAGTAGGTACGAGTCAGCCTCACATGACCCTAGGCACCAGAAATGATGGTCATTAGCATCTTCCAGACTGCTGGAAGCGGCGACTCGACCCCCACTAACCCCCACCAGGACTAGACCATAATTTGGTGCGAACAGGTGAGTATGCACTCACCTATAGTGGTAATGACAGTGGAGGCGAAGAAGACACTTTCGATGTAGTTCCAGTGGTAGTGGGGGAGGTGGGGGTCTAGTGGGGAGACTCCCGCCCCCACCGCATCCTCTACCGCACTCTCGTACTGCCGCAGCTCCGCCGACACCCGCAGCTGCGGTGACATACAGTCACATGCGGTCGCAAGGGTAAGAGAGAATGATTTCATATTATTATTATTATTATTATTATTATTATTACTGAATAATAAAAAGCTGAAAACCGTGGCTAGACAATTTTATATTATTATTCTTAAATTCCAGAGAAAGCGCTAAGCTCTTAATTTTATCCTTGGTATTGTGATTTGTGGGTTAGTTTGTGACTTGTTCCAGACACGGTATTGGCGACACGAGTGATAAATTGTGAACCGTTTCAGTCACTGTGAAAGGAATTGAGGATTAGTTGCGAATTCTTTCTTCCACGTTATTGTGAAATATATTCTGACTCACCTGGTACTCCGAGACTGTGTGTACACTTATATTAGTTAGGGACTGCATGAAGATAGCTCTCTGTTCCAGAAGGGTGGCTCCTGCCTCCTCTTGAGCCTGTACCTCAGCTGGGTGCTCCAGGATCTGGAAAATCTGCAACGGAGATGAAATTAAGACTGTAGCACTAGGAAGAGACCTGGAATGAGGATATTATGGCATGAGCATCTGGAGGAGGTCTGGAAGGAAGGAAATGATGATGGGGTGGGTGTTGATAGGGTGAGCGTTAGTGGGTTGGGTGTTGATGAGAGGGATGTAAGCTGATCACAGGGGCCCAGGACGTGCAGTAAACACACATTGGCCCCGTGCCTGGCATCGTTGTCTGATGCTCCTCTCTCTCTCTCTCTCTCTCTCTCTCTCTCTCTCTCTCTCTGTTTCTCTTTTACTTTCTCTTCCTCAATTATCACCTCGTCTCTAATCTATCATCTCCTCTTATCTGCTACACAGATAACCTGAAGCAGGAACAGTAGAGAGAATTATTCTCTGAGGAACAGTAAGGTGCAAAAGGAAGTAAAGAATTCATAGGTGTTAGACGGTGGGAACACCTGCAATGCGCTACTTTTAAGAGGAATATTGAAATAGCTGTAGATAATATCTATGCAACTTCCTAGTAGCGGGTATTTCTTCAGTGCTATTATCTGTATTGTATAGTTTTTCAAGGATTTAATGATTTACATTATTAAAGGGCCGTGGTAAATACCTGGGTGGCTCACCTTGGCCCCGGCAGCCGTGTAGACGACGAAGAAGACAAACAGTGCCATCTTAGGGGTGGTATTTTTAATGCTTGTCACCAGTGCCGCCCATCGCCGCCCACCTGCCGCCGCTGCTACCGCCATGCCACCCCCACCGCCACCCATCTCTGCCGCGTTGCTCCTACACATTGTTCTGTGGAGGAGTGTAGGATCAGTTCCATGATCTGATTGCTACACAGATGACGTAAACCTATCGTGGGTTAATGATTCCTAGATACAAACACATATAACCCGTACATAGGAGAGTGTAGCTTACGACGACGTTTCGGTCCGACTTGAACCATTTACAAAAGCACACAAGCAGAAAAGAGTGAGGTAGCCAGTATATATAAATGTGGATTATTTGTGTATTGTTCCAGTCACGGTATTGTGCCTTTTTATTCCTAAATACACAGGTTTTAAGTATCTAAAACAGCGGTTGTGTCCCTCTAAGACAGAGGTAGTGAACATGACTTATAACAGCATAAACAGAAGTGTATTAACCTGTTTCCTGATCTCTACAACAAACTCACAGCATAAAAAGCAATGGTTGCTTCTTTAACACAGAGTGTAATTACAAGGGGGACCGGGTGGCTGCATTTTATGACAGTCTTGCGTGTGTGTGCAACCCGGTGCAGCTAACAAACTCTGTGTGGGTACACACCAGTGAAAAGAATTTCTTGATATGATTATCAGATTGTTTTAATGGGCTAGGACCAAGAAGTGGGTTGTTAAACGTGAGGTTTTGGCGATGGGTTGTGAGGTTATGGCGATGGGTTGTGTGGCATGCAAAGAGTACGTAACCTTTATTCGGCGCATGTACACACCGTCATTTACAGGCTATCTCCCCCAACAGCGAACCAGGTGACTGAGGGTTGACGATGGGGCCCCGTCGTTCAACCAGTACCCAGGTTCCAGCCAATGAGAAGATGGTTTTGGCAATCGCAGAGGTTATGTGGGTACCACTCTCCTGTCTGCCATTGTCATTCCCATTCTAGAGCTGGTTGAAGCACGGTCTGCTCTCTAGTGGCTTCTATTCTGCCTTGTTTACCGTGGAGTACACTAATACCTATCTCTGTACATAGTGTATATAGTGTACATACTTCTGGATAATATTAGTCAAAAGTTTTTCTGCTGTGTTTATTTTGCTCCCTTTACACCCAGGATAACAGGCCATTTAAAATCCTGGGTTGTAATAGGTTGTGAGGTGGGTTTTCGTGGTTATGGGTTGCCACCCATTGGTCCAGGTGTCAACGTAATGTTCTCGCGACTGTGAGAACATCCTGATTTATGTCCAGGCTTAACATTAAGGGATAAAAGTTATGTCTCGTTTAATCTTTTTGCTCATAAGAAGGTCAACTGTATGACTGAAAGATACAGAAGCCATCTGCTGTATGCTGTAGTGTATGACTACAAAATACTGCATCCATCTCTGCTGTAATGGATACTCACATCTCTGTAAACATGTACCCCTGACACACACACACACACACACACACACACACACACACACACACACACACACACACACACACACACATACACACACACGCATACTACTACTACTGTTACTACTACTACTACTGTTACTACTACTACTGCTGTTACTACTACTGCTGTTACTACTACTGCTGTTCTACTACTACTACTGTTACTACTACTGCTGTTACTACTACTACCACTACTGTTACTACTACTGTTACTACCTCTACTACTACTAACACCTCACTCCAATGCCAATGTTTTTCCTCCGTGTCCTTGAATTGTTTGTAACGGCTTGACAAAGCTCCTGGAGAGCGAAACGTTGCCCCAATAGAAATGTAGCTTTAGTTGCACATGTGTCCTTTATCTTAACAACACACACACACAAACACACACCTTTCTTATGCCTGGACTTATGCGACCCGTATTTCCTCCAGTCACATTACGCTGGTCAACGAACTCTGAAATGAACCCTGGGTGGTGCGTTGAGGGTGCGTGATGAGCAAGAGTTACTGAGCTCACGGGGTTGGTGAACACGGTGTCACGAACACCTGGTATTGCTTCGACCACTGCCTTCATCAACACAGCTGTTATACTCACAAGATTATATGTCCAGTACCGGAACAGGAGGGGAATACCAGGGGGTAGAGAAGACATGTAGATGTGAGGGAAGGAGAGAGAGAGGGGGAAAAGGGAAGGAATGAGAGAGGGGGAGAGGTAGAGGAATAAGAATGAGAGACAGAACGTGTGAGGGAATGATTCAAAGAGAGAAGCAGTGAAGGAGAAAGTGACAGAATAGAAGATAGAGAAGGGAGAAAGAACAGGGAGGGAAGGGAAAAAAATGGAGAGAGGGAGAGGTTGTGCAAGCAGGGATAGATAATGAGGGAGAGTACCTGGCAGAACACCATAACAAGCAGAACACACCTTTGTAATCAACAAATTAACTTCATCTTCTGTCTACCATCAGGATCTTGGTGAACACGCCTTCGTTCCCTCGTGAAACAGTGTTCCCCCATGAACACGCCTTGTACCCGTGTGAACATGCGGTGTTCATTCGTGAACAACTACTATTTATTAGCCACTAGCCTCTGGCATAGTGTTCACTGTGCTCACAAATACATTTTTTTATAGACGAATCTCACAGCAACTAGACTGAGTCACACTCTAGCTCAAGTTCCTTTACAGACGTCATCAACGACGCAGCAATGGGTCAAGTTGGAAAAATTTAGTTTTAGAAAGGATATAGGAAAGCAGTGGTTTAGTAACAGAGTTGTGGATAAGTGGAACAAACTCCTGAGCAACGCCATTGAAGCTAAAACGTTGCGTAGTTATTGAAAATAAGCTAAACAAATACATGAATGGGTGTGAGTTGGACCTGACCAGCTTGGGCCAGTAGGCCTGCTGCAGTGTTCCTTCTTTCTTATAATAATAATAATAATAATAATAATAATAATAATCGTACACAGAAAGCCCCTTGTTATGCAGAGCATTTCGGGCAAATTAGATCAATTTTGTCCCCAGGATGCGACCCACACCAGTCGACTAACACCCAGGTACCTACTTTACTGACAGGTGATCAGGAACAGCAGGTGTCTTAAAGAAACACCCGTACCGGGAATCGAACCAATGTGTGAGCTCAGTGTGCTAGCAATCGACCCAATCACCGTTCTTAAATCGTGTCAACACAGTTGCAAAGAGTCATGGTATGGCGCTCTCTTGACTTACTGAGAATCGCGTTGCCACGATTCTGCAACTCATTGGAATCACTCAAAACGTTCTTCATGACTTTAAAATCAATGTTATTATACTAAATATAGGGAAATAACTATAAGAAAATTGTGCGTGAGTGGTCAAAACTGATTTTTTATGAGAAGAGAGAAGGTAACATACGCCACACACTATATTTACTTCTGATAGAAATATCTATCTGCTTGTCTATGTACAGACGTATATTGCTGTTTATATACGTAAAGTAATCAATGTCGGAAGTAGAATATACCGACAAGTGTGTGAATTAGACATAGTATGAAATCTGTGGTATTTACCGAGTAGATGTTTCTCCCCTGTTGGGTGAAACATCTCAGTAAACGTCATACATTTCATATTACGTCTTAGTGACAACGACGTGAGAATCGCTGAATGTATAAACACCGAGAGACGCAGATCTCTGTGTATACCCATTTCGGAATTTTTATTGAGGAAACGTTTCGCCAGGCAGTGGCTGTCTTCAACCTCTATTTTAGGGATTAAAGCATTTTTTTGTTACTTTGCCGGTGACTTAGAGTCGCAATGGCCCAGGCAGTCGATAGCATTAAAACCTGTGTACAAATGTGTTATGCCAATATTATAGAAATGACACAGGTGCAGAGGAAGGTTTTATTGTCACAGCACCTCTGTAGAGGTATATCCTGTTACTCGGCTTGATAAAGCCTCACACAGAGCAACACATTGCCGCCACACAGGCTGCTTTTCCACCTCTGTTACTCTTTCAGCTTCCAGACCTTACAGAGTCGCTAAAAAGTATATTGGCAAAATCATAAGAGCTCCATAAATAAAAGGAAAATACTGTAATAGTTTCCCGAAGTGGTGGTAAGTGAAGCAACCCGTAAATTTCTGTGAATTACATGACAAACTGAACGCTAATGATCGACACCAGTACCATAACTCTGCTGCTGTAACTACGATCACTGATGATGGTACACCAGTAGCATAACTCTGCTGCTGTAACTACGATCACTGATGATGGTACACCAGTACCATAACTCTGCTGCTGTAACTACGATCACTGATGATGGTATACCAGTAACATACTCTGCTGCTGTAACTACGATCACTGATGATGGTACACCAGTAGCATAACTCTGCTGCTGTAACTACGATCACTGATGTTGGTACACCAGTAGCATAACTCTGCTGCTGTAACTACGATCACTGATGTTGGTACACCAGTAGCATAACTCTGCTGCTGTAACTACGATCACTGATGATGGTATACCAGTAACATACTCTGCTGCTGTAACTACGATCACTGATGATGGTACACCAGTAGCATAACTCTGCCTGCTGTAACTACGATCACTGATGATGGTACACCAGTAGCATAACTCTGCTGCTGTAACTACGATCACTGATGTTGGTACACCAGTAGCATAACTCTGCTGCTGTAACTACGATCACTGATGATGGTACACCAGTAGCATAACTGCTGCTGTAACTACGATCACTGATGTTGGTACACCAGTAGCATAACTCTGCTGCTGTAACTACGATCACTGATGTTGGTACACCAGTAGCATAACTCTGCTGCTGTAACTACGATCACTGATGATGGTACACCAGTAGCATAACTGCTGCTGTAACTACGATCACTGATGATGGTACACCAGTAGCATAACTGCTGCTGTAACTACGATCACTGATGATGGTACACCAGTATCATAACTCTGCTGCTGTAACTACGATCACTGATGATGGTACACCAGCAGCATAACTCTGCTGCTGTAACTACGATCACTGATGATAGTACACCAGTATCATAACTCTGCTGCTGTAACTACGATCACTGATGATGGTACACCAGTAGCATAACTCTGCTGCTGTAACTACGATCACTGATGATTGTACACCAGTAGCATAACTGCTGCTGTAACTACGATCACTGATGATGGTACACCAGTAGCATAACTGCTGTTGTAACTACGATCACTGATGTTGGTACACCAGTAGCATAACTCTGCTGCTGTAACTACGATCACTGATGATAATACACCAGTATCATAACTCTGCTGCTGTAATTACGATCACTGATGATTGTACACCAGTAGCATAACTGCTGCTGTAACTACGATCACTGATGATGGTACACCAGCAGCATAACTCTGCTGCTGTAACTACGATCACTGATGATGGTACGCCAGCAGCATAACTCTGCTGCTGTAACTACGATCACTGATGATGGTACACCAGCAGCATAACTCTGCTGCTGTAACTACGATCACTGATGATGGTACACCAGTAGCATAACTGCTGCTGTAACTACGATCACTGATGATGGTACACCAGCAGTATAACTCTGCTGCTGTAACTACGATCACTGATGATGGTACACCAGCAGCATAACTCTGCTGCTGTAACTACGATCACTGATGATGGTACACCAGCAGCATAACTCTGCTGCTGTAACTACGATCACTGATGATGGTACACCAGTAGCATAACTCTGCTGCTGTAACTACGATCACTGATGATGGTACACCAGCAGCATAACTCTGCTGCTGTAACTACGATCACTGATGATGGTACACCAGCAGCATAACTCTGCTGCTGTAACTACGATCACTGATGATGGTACACCAGCAGCATAACTCTGCTGCTGTAACTACGATCACTGATGATGGTACACCAGCAGCATAACTCTGCTGCTGTAACTACGATCACTGATGACAGTACACCAGCAGCATAGCTCTTGTCCTGGTAGATAAATAAGACACATGTGCATCACTCGTGTATCCTTATTGTTCAGACCTACCACCAACCAGTGGCTTTATCAGTCCAATTCACAGAGTAATGCTGGACTCGGTGGAAGAAGACACGAGAAAGAAGTCTGAGGTGATCAGTCCCTCAGTCTGCTGGAGAGAGAGGAAAACGTGAGAAATAGTTTTTGGGTGATTAGTCGCTTGAAACTGGAATTTAATCCATCAGTTTTGATGAATCTAAAGCAGATGCCCGAGGTAGGAGACTTATATACTAGGAATCAGTCCCTCAACTTAGCAAGGTTGAGGGACTGATTCCCTGCAACTGTTTCATCGTCTTCCACTGTCTCTCCAGCAGAATCATCAAGGATGAGGGACTGATCATCTCAAGCTACTTCATCATGCCTTCCACCGTCTCTTGTATTGTTCTCCGCGTTAGACTGATAATGACAATGTGTGGCGAAACGTCTCCACAGTAGATACCCAAGTGTTTCACCTGTCTCTTATTCATCATCTTGTTTTCATTGTATAAGACAAACACACAAATAATAATAATAATAATAATAATAATAATAATAATAATAATAATAATAATAATAATAATAATAATAATAATAAATAATATCTTTATTTACTACAAGTACATGCACATGGTATACGGGTCTAGCTGACATCAGTGACATACTACTATATAGAAAGTCGCTTGTTATGCCGGGGATTTCAGGCAAATTAGGTCAGTTTTGTCCCAGGATGCGACCCACACCAGTCGACTAATACCCAGGTACCCATTTTACTGATGAGTGAACAGGGACAGCAGGTGTCTTATGGAAACACGTCCCTAATGTTTTCCAGCCGTACCGAAGAAGATTCGAACTCCGGACCTCAGTGTGTGAGCTGAGTGCGCTACCGATCGAGCTACGGGACACCATACGCACAGACATACATACTCACAGACACACACATATACAGGCATACAGACAGACACACACACACACACACACACAAACACACGAAATGAAACGAAACGAAAGTACAAAGGTTTGCGACAAGGTTAGTTCCAGAGCTAAGGGGAATGTCCTATGAAGAAAGATTAAGGGAAATCGGCCTGACGACACTGGAGGACAGGAGGGTCAGGGGAGACATGATAACGACATATAAAATACTGCGTGGAATAGACAAGGTGGACAAAGACAGGATGTTCCAGGGAGGGGACACAGAAACAAGAGGCCACAATTGGAAGTTGAAGACACAAATGAGTCAGAGAGATATTAGGAAGTATTTCTTCAGTCATAGAGTTGTAAGGCAGTGGAATAGCCTAGAAAATGACGTAGTGGAGGCAGGAACCATACACAGTTTTAAGACGAGGTTTGATAAAGCTCATGGAGCGGGGAGAGAGAGGGCCCAGTAGCAACCGGTGAAGAGGCGGGGCCAGGAGCTAAGACTCGACCCCTGCAACCACAAATAGGTGAGTACAAATAGGTGAGTACACACACACACACACACACAAACACACGCACACCACCACCAAAACCACCATCACCACTCACTGCGTCCTCACCACAACACAGTCTAAGGCACACTGTTAACTTAAGGCTTGGTTCTGAGCGAACGATCACCATTACTCTTACTACTCACTAAACTTTTAAATTATTTTCTTAAAAGTAAAGTTCACCCCACTAACATTATTTTACGTTGCGAATAAATCTTTCTGCACTTTGGCCATATTCAACAAGCGTATCACTCCGCCGTTGCTCTCTTTTGCGTATATCCGTTAACAGAGGAAGTGAACGAAACCTAGGAAACAGGACAACGGAACCGTTGGCTTCGGTAACAACGGCATTATGAGGGAAGTTCTTGCTCAACAGCTAAGTGAAGGATCTTGTACACACGCCCCCTTCCTCCCTGGCCACGCCTCCTCCTTCCTCTAGCCACGCCCCCCAGCAGTAAACACGTCCACTTCTCTCCCTACAAACTAACATTATCTCTCTCCTCCAGAACTCTCCATAACCTATAACCCATAAATCCTCAACACCACCACCACAATCCGCCACTACAACTCCTCCCAATCCACCACCACAACCCCAACAACCCAGTAGATATTCCCCTCCCACATCCTCTCTCCCTCCCCTCACTCCCACCAGTCCAAATAATTGGAGGCAGGAGCAAGCAGAGGTCGTACTGGAGACCATGAAAGTGACTCCCGGGGTTCATAACTACTGATGTCCAAGTCTCCAGCACAGCAGCAGAAGGGATAGCAAACACGAGGGATAGTAAGCAGGAAGTATACTAGGGATGAGACAGAGAGAGAGAGAGTCAGACAGACAGACAGACAGAGCAAACAGGAAGAATTGTAAGCAGGGAGAATAACAACCAAGAGGGATAGTAAGAAGTAACAGCAGTAGTAGTAGTAAACAATAGGAATAGCAAGAAAGAGGGATAACGCGCGCGAAGGATATCAAGCAAGGGAGATAAAAGCCATGGAAAGAGAAATAAGAGAGGTAAAGAAAGTTCTTTTATCTTCCTTTGAAATCTATTCTCATTCTGTAGTGTCAACATTCTGTAGTGTCATCATTCTGTAGTGTCATCATTCTGTAGTGTCATCATTCTGTAGTGTCCTTATTCTGTAGTGTCATCATTCTGTAGTGTCATCATTCTGTAGTGTCATCATTCTGTAGTGTCATCATTCAGTAAAGTCTTCCACAGACTGTGGGGTCCGAGTCTCTGTAGTTTGGAAAGTCAGAATTCTGAAATCATCTGAAAATAATCCGTCACAGTTAACCTCTGCAGCAAATATTTCTTGGTATTACTTCTAATTTTGGTATTTCCCATAATCTTAAGGCATTAGTGACTTCACCAACATTCAAAATCCAAATTTTAAAAATAAACACGAGTCTTTTAAAAGATCTTTAACATCATCAACATAGTCAGATATATTTAATATTAATAATATAACACAATACGCGGTTTTTATTACTTTATTGAAAAGACAAAATTTACTGACCAAGGCAAATTTATTGATAATTTATTAATAAAAGGAAATTTATTAAGTTCCTGGTGGGCGAAACGTCTTCTGAATAAAATGCCATAAACTGCATAGTGTGTGTATTGTCATACTTGTCTGTATATAAAACCATTAACATATAAAAGTTAATGTAACACTTTAATTGTCGTAAATCCTTTCTCGTTGCACAGAGAGTAAGATAACAGACAACTTGTACGTTGCACAGAGAGTAAGATAACAGACAACTTGTACGCTGCACAGAGAGTAAGATAACAGACAACTTGTACGCTGCACAGAGAGTAAGATAACAGACAACTTGTACGCTGCACAGAGAGTAAGATAACAGACAACTTGTACGTTTCAGAGAGTAAGATAACAGACAACTTGTACGTTGCACAGAGAGTAAGATAACAGACAACTTGTACGCTGCACAGAGAGTAAGATAACAGACAACTTGTACGCTGCACAGAGAGTAAGATAACAGACAACTTGTACGTTTCAGAGAGTAAGATAACAGACAACTTGTACGTTTCAGAGAGTAAGATAACAGACAACTTGTACGTTTCAGAGAGTAAGAGTATAAGCTTCTTGCACAGATTAAGATAAGAGGTTCCTTGTACATTGCAGAGAAAGCAAGATAAGAGAGGCAAGATTTACTGGGAATCCCGGGTGAGTGGAGCAAGTCTGACCACTAAGTCTGACCACCAAGTCTGACCACCAAGTCTGACCACCAAGTCTGACCACCAAGTCTGACCACCAAGTCTGACCACCAAGTCTGACCACCAAGTCTGACCACCAAGTCTGACCACCAAGTCTGACCACCAAGTCTGACCAGCCTCTCACCACGGTCACTTACCGCAAACAAAGAAGGAAATGAATTGAAAAAAAAAATAAGTCAGTGATACAGCTACTAGCTAAAATTTAGTGATTTGCTGACCTTTCAAGGGAGAGAGGATTGCCAAGAAGCTGCTGAAGGGTTCTTGATCCAGGTAATCTGAGTCGTCCTTCCGTTGATCAACCTGATTATATCTCATTTCCAGGGCTAGGAATCTCAGCTACTGAGCTGAGAAGAGATGAGCCTAGAGTTTTCTTTTTTTTATTTTCTGAGCTGAGCAAACGTACAAATTTGATTCATTTGTTTTTCTAGTAAGCTCTAAACTCGCGTGGGCCATTAAGCGCAACGGGGAGAGGAGGCTCGATCCTCCGTCTGTTAACAGTGATAGAAATCGGCTCTCGCAACCAGGTTCGCCAACAGGAACCAGCAAAAGTCTTCTCAGTGTTTACCTAACAAGATTTCAGAGTCTTGAATGTGTGGTCTATAATTGTTATGGTGATGCTCAAGACACCACCGGGTCTTTTATGGAGAAAAATTAATTTGTAGTATTAGTTGAGATACATCAACAAAATTATTTCACGGGTGAAGTTATTGCTTGTAAGTCTTGTGCTCTCTCTGTCTCTCTCTCTCTCTCTCTCTCTCTCTCTCTCTCTCTCTCTCTCTCTCTCTCTCTCTCTCTCTCTCTCTCTCTCTCTCTCTCTCTCCAAGTTATATGTCCGGTCATAAAACCACCAGCTTTGCCCAGATGCAATAACTGACCCAAGGAAATCTTTCATTGTCAGGCATGAAGCTAATACCTCCCATAATTTTGGTAATTAATTTACGAGACTGTCATGCCTTGGAGTGTCTTGTCAACGCATTCCATTATCAAAGTCATCTGCGGCGTAATGTTGTCACCACCAGACATGAATCACTTTATTCTCTATTTAAATAGGGTTTAAAGTCAGCTCTCAGTGTATATACGCCGAGAGAAATACGCCTCTCAGTGCGTATATCCTCAATTAGTTTACACACGAAGAGTAACAATTTTCGTGAGTTTACTTTCTAGGTGTTCCACCACTCTTCTCCTGATAATCTTCACCATGACTTTGCATATTATACATGTCAGTGACACTGGTCTGTAGTTTAGTGCTTCGTGTCTGTCTCCCTTTTTAAAAATTGGGACTACATTTGCTGTCTTCCATGCCTCAGGTAGTCGCCCTGTTTCGACAGATGTGTTGAAGATTGTTGTTAGTGGCACACATAGCGCCTCTGTTCTCTCTTTCGGGACCCATGGAGAGATGTTATCCGACTCCATCACCTTTGTGACATCTAGCTCGCTTAGCAGCCTCTTCACTTCTTCCTCGGTTGTATGTATTGTGTCTAACACTTGATGGTGTACCCCACCTCTCCGTCTATCCGGAGGCCCTTCTGTCTCCTCTGTGAACACCTCTTTGAATCTCGTGTTGAGCTCCTCACATACTTCTCGGTCGTTTCTTGTGATCTCTCCTCCTTCCTTCCTCAGCCTGATTACCTGGTCCTTGACTGTTGCTTTCCTCCTGATGTGGCTGTACAACAGCTTCAGTCAGATTTGGCTTTTGCTGATATGTCATTTTCGTATTGTCGTTAGGCCTCCCTTCTTACCTCTGCATATTAATTTCTGGCTCTACGACTGCTCTCCTTATTCTCCTGAGTCCTTTACTTTCTATACTTCTTCCATTCTCTAGCACACTTGGTTTTGGCTTTTCTACACCTCTGGTTGAACCAAAGGCTCATCCTGGTCTTCTCGTTATTTCTGTTGCCCTTGGGTAAAAACCTCTCTTCAGCTTCCTTGCATATTGTTGTCACATATTCCATCATCTCACATACTGACTTTTCTGCCAGTTCTCTGTCCCGCTGAAAGCCGTGTGTGTGTGTGCGCGCGCGCGTGTGTGTGCGTGTGTGTGTGTGTGTGTGTGTGTGTGTGTGTGTGTGTGTGTGTGTGTGTGTGTGTGTGTGTGTGTGTGTGTGTGTGTGTGTGTGTGTGTGTACTCACCTAATTCCTCACTTAATTGAGGTTGCAGGGGTCAAGACTCATCTCCTGGCCCCGCCTCTTCACTGATCGCTACTGGGTGTGTGTGTGTGTAAGTAAGTTTATTCAGGTAAGGTACACATAAATACAGTTATATAAATCATCATACATAGCAGCATATGTGTAGATTACTTAGGATAAGAAAGTCAGACGGAGTGACATATTTCCACTATGACTCTTACATTTCTCAGCTGTCAGAAAGCCACAAAGGTCAATAAAACAAACGATAAATTTGATATTTTTATTTTCAAATAAACTAGTATCGTATAAGGAACATAATATCCTCGATCAAGAGAGAAAAATGACAAGATAGGGAAAAGTTAGTGACCAATCTATCTCACGGGTGTGTTGTGTTTGTGTTGCTCACCTGCGCCCGCGCCTTCGTCAGCCTGGCCTCTAGTGAGGGCTCCTGGGACAGCCAGGGGAAGGGCCCCGCGGAGGGCTGGGGGGCCGCCGAGTCCCTCCCGGACCTTCCCAGAGCCCTGAAGGAGGAGAGGGGGGCTCTAAGGGAGAGCTGCAGCAGCAGTAGGCGCGGAAGGCGACGGTGAAGGAGTTTGGAGGTGGTGAATATTACGTTAGATTTTGTACGGAGGCGGCGGGGAGGGGAGGCTAGACCGCCGCACAGAGGTGATCACCAGGGCACCATGATGAACCAGGGCACCAAGATGAACCAGAGCACCAAGGTGAACCAGGGCACCACGATGAACCAGGGCACCAAGATGAATCAGGGCACCAAAGTGAACCTGGTCCTCATGATTACCCAGATCCCCATGATGGACCAGGTGTTCAAGATGAACGTAGGACCACCAAGGTAAACACAAGTCCCAACTAAGGGACCAGACTTAAAGCTTTGTCCAAAGCCGTGTGCTATGGTGGTCTGGACAACGCAAAAAACGCAGCCCAGCTCACCAAGGGCTAAACTAACCGCCAACCAATAATAATAATAATAATAATAATAATAATAATAATAATAATAATAATAATAATAATAATAATAATAATAATAATAATAATAACTTAAAATCAACTGATAGCAGACTTGATACAACAGAGAGAGAACTTTTCAAAATGTCGACATAAAGATGCTAAACGACACAGAGTGTGAGAATGTGACAAATCGCGTGGATGAAGGAATGAGGAGAACCAAGTGTTCCTGAAAAGAAAGAAAGTACTCATAAGTCTCTCTCTCTCTCTCTCTCTCTCTCTCTCTCTCTCTCTCTCTCTCTCTCTCTCTCTCTCTCTCTCTGTACATTTCTCTTTTTTCTTAGTCTTTCTTTCCATTTTGAAGTTTTTTATTTCTGGCAATTTGGCGCCCAACATAGAGGAAAAAACATTAAGTAATATTTTTCAAAATTTTATTACACCACAATACAACATAAATTTTTTTTCCTTGAAATAGACGTGAATTAAAAAAATGTTGAGACGGACTTACTCATCACTCTTCTTCCTCTTCCTCCTCCTCCTCCTCCTCCTCTTCCTCTTCCTCTTCTTCCTCTTCAACTTCAGGCTCTGGGGGTGGAGGGGGCTCCAGCTCCTCTTCTTCCTCGGCTGGGGTCTCGGGTTCGCCAGCCTTCTTGCCTGGTCGCTCACCGAACCATTTTGGCAGCTTAGCTACCAGAGAGAATCATAAACATTAGCTAAAGGTCCGGAGAGAATCCTCGACTCCCCGGAGGAACGTAAGATACCCCCCGGAGGTACTGCGACTCCTTAGAAGGCTTAGAGGCACTTTAGGATCCCCGGAAGTGCTTCGAGTAATGCATAGGTACACTGAGTATAGGTGAGTGGTAGATTATACCAACAAGTACGTAAAGCACGTTATGGGATTTACGGCATTTGACTGCGAAAGTGTTTTGTTCATCAGAGACTTTATCATTTCTCAGATTGATAAAGTGTCTTGTGGACAAATAAGGTTTCTCAATACAGTGCCATACACCACATATTATGTCTTATTCTGTACTTGAGTTTTTTGGGTTCTTTGGGTTTTCCGTGAAATACTTCGGCTCCCAACATGGTACGTTGAGTTCCTCCAAAGGCACTTCTGAGACCTTGGAGTTGTTTTGAATGCCCTGGAGGTACCAAGTATCTTCTGGAGGTACTTTAAGCCATTCTAGAAGTACTTCGAGTGCCCTCTGTGGTAATCTGAGTTCCCGGAGGTACATTGAATATCCTACAGATATTTTGAGGGAGCCTAGAGGTACTTTAACTCATGTCGGGGGAACTTCGAACCTCCTCCCCAAGACACTTCATCTCCCCTAGAGATACTTCGAGCCCTCAAAAGTTACTTCGAGTCACTCTAGAATAACTCTACAGTGTATCCTGGAAATACTTTTGAGTTTCCCTAGTGGTGCTTCGAACGAGTTAGAAGTATTTACTTTAAAGTCCCCAGGAGGTATTTCAAATCCTCGAGTCACCCCAGAAGAACTGGAGGTACTTTAGGTCGTTCAAGATGTACGTTAAGTCGTCCAAGAGGTAATTTAGGTTGTCCAAGAAGTACTTTAGGTCGTCCAAGAGGTACTTTATGTTGCCCAAAAAGTACTTCGAGTACCCATAAGTACTTCGACACCCTGGGCTTTAACAATAAGCTGCTACTACTGCTGCTGCTGATGTTGTTGTTGCTCAACCATTCTTGCTTTGCGATAGCACTAACTTCACAGGACTGGAGAACAAGAAAGTTCTTAAGCAAATTTACTCATGAATGAGACATTTGTGCCACATCTGGGCATCTTTGTTCTGTAAACGTTTCGCCAGTCAGTCTCTTCTTCAATCCAATGCAGAGAAAGGTAGAAGATGAGAAGGAATTTGAGGAAATCAGTCTCTCAGGATGTAGTCCATCAAGACTGGTGGACTGAACACATCGATTCCAGACTGAGGGACTAATTACCCCAAACTCCTTCTCATCTTCCACCTTTCTCTGCACTGGAATGAAGAAGCCACTGGCTGGCGAAACGTTTCCAGATTAAAATACCCAGATAGTGCACACATGTCTCATTCGTTAACTTGTCGATTTTCTAAAAGATTTATTTAAATATAATAGTATTAAACACTGCTTAAGAACGCAAAAGCTCTTAGAGCTGATGCAACTTACGCGAGGTTTGCTTTTGTTATATTTTATTAAAAAACTCTAAATCCGTATGGGTAACAGAGGGGTTTCTCGTACTGAAAAAAAACAGTTGAAGCACCACAGGGGGTTCACTAGTTGAAGTACCCCAGGGGGTTCACTAGTTGAAGTACCCCGTTCACTAGTTGAAGCACCCCAGGGGGTTCACTAAAGAGCCTCATAAATGGAGAGTAACTGTGTCTCGCAGAAAATAATCCTAACACGAGTTTTAAGTAACATTTATAACTAAAAAAATAAATAATTGAAATTATATATATATATATATATATATATATATATATATATATTATATATATATATATATATATATATATATATATATATATATATATATGTATATATATATATGCAATAAGATCACAGTAAACAGGTGATTTTAAAATATGCAAAACAACCACTGTGAAAGAGTAGTGAAATTCCAAGCGCTTTCGTGACTACTCACATTGTCAAGGAACTATGAAATTAATACATCAAAGGCAGGCAATTAAAGGGCTTAGACCACACCTCACAGTCAACTCCCACAACAAAGAAACACCTGACGCGCGACAATACCGGACTCATAAGAAAAGAGGAACACTGCAGTAGGTCCGCTGGTCCAACTAGACAGGTCCTCACCACATCCCACTAACTATTCTACCCAAGAAATAAGGTTTATTATTTGTCCAATGTATTATTAAATTCTTCCCAAATTTTATTAATTATAAATGAATCTAATTTATATAAACCAAAGGAAATATTCATATTATTTTCAAAACTGCTTTTTACGAAACAAGATTCAATTATATTTCTGTCGACCATGGACTTGCTTGATACAACTTTCTCAACTTTTTGAAAATCAATTGGATGGTAAAAATCTCTTACATGAATAAATAGAGCATTGGAATCTTGTCCAGTTCTAATGCTATATTTATGTTGTTTTAATCTTAGTTCGAGATTTTTACCAGTTTGACCGTAATAAACTTTATCGCAAATTTTACAAGGAATCTTACAGACACATCCATCAGCATTTTGGGGGGAATTCTTTATCAAAAGTTTTTTTACTGTATCAAGATTTTTAAATACAACTTTAATATTAAAAGTCTTAAGAAGAGAAGGCATATCAACCAAGTTTTCATGGTAAGGGAGAACCAACATATTTTTAGTTGAATAAGGTTGGTTGTCCCTTTTTGGGTTGTAAAAAGTATTTCTAGCAACTTTAAATGATTTATCAATTACATTTCTCGGGTATTTCAGGTCATTAGCTATTTCATAAATTTTGGATATTTCCTCATCTATGAACTCAGGACTACAAATTCGTAAAGCTCTCAAAAACATTGACGAGAAAACAGACAGTTTAACTTTATCTTGATGCGAGGAATAATAGTGGACATAGGAACAGTTATTTGTAGGTTTTCTGTAAATTTTAAGTTTGAATTCATTATTACTCTAAATAATTAAAATATCTAGAAAAGGCAATGAGTTATTTTCCTCAAACTCAAAGTTTGAGGAAAATAACAGTAAAAAATAACAGTAAAAAAAACTTTTGATAAAGAATTCCCCCCAAAATACTGATGGATGTGTCTATAAGATTCCTTGTAAAATTTGCGATAAAGTTTATTACGGTCAAACTGGTAAAAGTCTCGAACTAAGATTAAAACAACATAAATATAGCATTAGAACTGGACAAGATTCCAATGCTCTATTTATTCATGTAAGAGATTTTAACCATCCAATTGATTTTCAAAAAGTTGAGAAAGTAGTATCAAGCAAGTCCATGGTCGACAGAAATATAATTGAATCTTGTTTCGTAAAAAGCAGTTTTGAAAATAATATGAATATTTCCTTTGGTTTATATAAATTAGATTCATTTATAATTAATAAAATTTGGGAAGAATTTAATAATACATTGGACAAATAATAAACCTTATTTCTTGGGTAGAATAGTTAGTGGGATGTCGTGAGGACCTGTCTAGTTGGACCAGCGGACCTACTGCAGTGTTCCTCTTTTTTTCTTATGAGCCGGATTGTCGCGCGTCAGGTGTTTCTTTTTGTGGGAAAGTTGACTGTGAGGTTGGTTTTAAAGCCCTTTAATTGCCTTCCTTTGATGTATTAATTTCATAGTTCCTTGACAATGTGAGTAGTCACGAAAGCGCTTGGAATTTCACTACTCTTTCACAGGGGTTTTTTTATTTTGCATATGTATAATATATATATATATATATTATATATATATATATATATAATAATATATATATATATAAAATATATATTAATAAAATATATACTTATTTATTCAAGCATAAAATAAAAATCATTAAAGACGATAATACTTAAAATACACTATTTAATTGTTATAAATACTACAAAATTAAGCAGAATTTTTCAACTTATTTCATTGGTGTTTAGGTTTCGATGATGATAAAGAAATGTTACCGAAACACTACGCGAGAAGATGGTTATACAGACCTTGTACAAGTATACACTCGCATGCTTACCTAGCTAATATTACTGACTCGTTAAGGATATTCTTGGTAAGACACATGTGCAACAGTTAGGGTATCTTAATTCCGAAACCTTTCGCCTACACAGTAGGCTTTTTCAATCTAGTATTATATATTGACTGACTTTTAAAATTTAGCAAAACTAAGACTTAGTGTTATATACTAGTTTTGCTAGGACTCTTGAAGCTTCAGGGAGGCTATATATAATATAGTGTACCTATATATTTATAGGTTAGGTTAGTTAACACTCGTCAGGAAACAGGACAAGTGTTACCTGACGCGGTACTTAGTCATATGATGACCCACATCTGGAGCTTTTGGTCATCTGACCGAGGCCTTCCGCTGGCTTACCGGTCCACCCCTTTTGAATATTATGGTTATAATTATATATAATGTGGTAAACTGATAATATAGTATACCTATTTATAATGTAAGACATATATAATGAACACTTATATGATAAACAAAGAGTTGAAAGACGGGACGTCAAAATCCTATTTCAGCGGGTATATCTACCAGTAGATTACTACGAGGAATTAAATACAGAGTATGAATAACCATCCTTCGTGATGTGCAGGTGTTAGGTAAACACAAGTCTAACATAGCTGAATAATATACTACAGTGGACCCCCGGTTAACGATATTTTTTTCACTCCAGAAGTATGTTTAGGTGCCAGTACTGACCGAATTTGTTCCCATAAGGAATATTGTGAAGTAGATTAGTCCATTTCAGACCCCCAAACATACACGTACAAACGCACTTACATAAATACACTTACATAATTGGTCGCATTCGGAGGTAATCGTTATGCGGGGGTCCCCCCCTCAAGGAAGGTTCCTTGATGTTGGTGAGGGGCTCTTGATTTAGGGAATTGGATCTGTGCTCCAGTTCCCCGAATTAAGCCTGAATGCCTTCCACATCCCCCCCCCCAGGCGCTGTATAATCCTCCGGGTTTAGCGCTTCCCCCTTGATAATAATAATAATAATATGCGGGGTCCACTGTACCTATATTATTGAGGCTACACTACAAATGCACATTTTTTTTTTTTTGCAAATGAAAGGAAAAAAAAATCTGTGGTGCATAACACATTATCTAAGTTTGTTTTTCTTTTTTCTTTCAGAGATTCGAACTGATGGCAAGTCAGTAAAAATTGACCAACGTAAAGAAAATGTATTAATGATTACTCTCATACCGATCGAAGTATCCCACTTTGAAACAGTCTAGGCTGACTGGTAGGTTATTTGCTGCTTATTAGGCTGGTAGTCAGTTCGAATCTTCGACAAACCTATATATATATATATATATATATATATATATATATATATAAAAATATATAATATATAATTATATATAATATATATATATATATATATATATATATATAATATATATACAGTGGAACCTCAAAACTCGAACTGCTCCCAACACAACCAATTATGTAAGTGTATTTTTGTAAGTGCTTTTATAAGTGTATTTATAAGGGGCTGAAATGGACTAATCTAATTTACATTATTCCTGAAGGGAATAAATTCCCTTCGGGAAAGGGACTCGAACAGACTTCTGGACCGACGAAAGCTCGATATTTGAGGGTTCCACTGCATATATAATATATATATATATATATATATAATAATATATATAATAAAATATATATATATATATTAAAGAAAGCATGACAAAAACACTACACTACTACTACTACTACTACTACTACTACTACTACTAGTAAATAAAACTTGACGTAGTTCTGTTAAGTTTTAGAGAGATACTTATCATTAGAATGCTGGTTCAAGTTTAGGTTATTACAAAAATATAAAATATATATAATTTATGGGACCCATAGCCTCGGAGAAGTGGATAAAAAGGCTTCAAGGAAGATTCCCAAATTAGCAAACATGGAACAAGCAGCCAAGGGGGGAAAAAATGAGTTAATTAAGCATAATCAGGCACAAACACACACACAAACACACCAACAAACACGCAGATCAAAATAAACATTTACAAACCTTATTTAACATTTTATTTCAGAATCCAAACCTCCTGAGGTTGATTACAACTTAGTATTGTACACGGGGTTACGAAACATGCTCAGAGCGCAGAGAGGAGAGCCTTTTCTAGTGAATTACAAAGCAAATTATAAGTTCCTTGGCATGAGTTGTGTGGTAGGCCTAGCTGGTCACGTGACTCGCTCTATTAGGCCTAGCTGAACATACTGTATGGAATGCTCTGATGGACACAAATGGACACAAGTTATGCTCTGCTAGGCCTTACTGGACATGCCCATAATAGGCCTTTGGTCACATGACGCACCTCACAACATGAATAATAAACCAAAATAACTCTCAGAAACGAAAAGAAATTAAAAAAAAAATAAAACGATATATGCGCAGTGATATCAGTGGATGAGGCGCAGGAACGAAAATAAATTAACAAAACAGTTATGTGAGAAAATCGAAGCGCCATAATGCACACTAGTTACGTCTGTTAGCTAGTTCGTTGTACATATAATGCGTCTTGCTGTGTTGCTTCAGGCAGCTTAGACGAGATGATTATGATACATGGTAAGCAATTATTTGATATACTTATTAAATAGCAGTAGAGAACTGTAGCATAAAATTATAAGTGATATTATAAAAACTGTGTAAGTTGCATTATTACTGAGAGTGAGAGAGTGGTGGGAGAACCACCGTGTTTCTTACCCTTCGCTCGGGCATCGAACTGAGTTCTAAGCTCGGCCCATTTCCTCTCTCGCTCTTCCTTTGTCATTTCAATAATTCCCTGAGGATGTAGTAGACAAAATGTGGGACATTAAGTTCACAATTCAGACCACACACTGTAAGAAAGATATATAAGGCTGTGGGTTGGGGGAAAGGGGTAAATATGGAGGTAAGGGGGTTAGGACCGAGAGGTCAATCACCCCTCCCCCCTTGTTGGAAAATAAGAGGGTTGGGGGAGAGGGAGAGGGGAGGAAACAGAAAAAAATTAATTTCTTTAAAACATTTTTTTGGGGGGGGGCACACAAGGTGAGGTGACTGGTATGGTTGAGGGGCCTGCCAGGATTAAAGTACATAACGAAACCAAGGATTGGCTCCAAAATATTTCAGAATTCGTCTCCTGGGCGACAGGAAGACGCTACGTAACGAAAAAGTACGTTACTGCAAAACTCAAAACATATTTTATATTAAAAATACGATCAAAATAATTTTGTCATTCTGAGTCTTTATAGGTTTCATTGCAACTCCCCCACAAAATTATAAAAACTCGAGAGTGAAGAAAATATGATACTAGAAAAATGTTCTGACTAAAAATTTAAAAAAAAGTGAGAGGAGGGCAACTGGTGGTGTGGTTCTGACGACGAACAAAGGTTGATATGGAGAGTGAGTCTCTGAGAGGCAGAGGGTGAGTCTGCCTGACGCTGTCAACTGCGATCTTTTGTCTTAGCTGAGGTCAACAAAGCAATACTGCCTTTGCGTCCTCCAGCACCGCTCGTAAAACACAGATGCCAAGGTTGCTTAATACAAGAAAGAACAGGAGCAACTTGCTCTTTCTCTCTCTCTCTTTCCAGGAAGCTATCACTGAGTAACGACACACTCTTTTGCCTCCCTGACACTGGCTGGATGACATGCCTCTCGACGCAACTCGTGTTTCTAAACTACTAAGAAAACCGCTTCAAGAGATGCAGGAGCGTCCAGAGGTCAAGCCAAGACCCACGAAGGAGGGCAAAGGTGTGTTAGGTCTCTAGTGTTTGGGAGACGCTGTCTTAACTATGAAAAAACTACCAGCGAGAGATGCCACTCCTACGTCGAAAACACTGCCCTGCCAGTTGCAACTACTTACACTTAGTTCTGTTGATAAATTCTTCGTACTTTTCCTTCCAATACCTCTCCATCTCCTCGTTGTGTACAACATCCCAGCCCTGGAGGTACAAGTGTGGTGCAAGACACATTAAGGAGGAAGGAGTGGAGAAGAAGGCTGTTTATTGCTGTTTTATAGATTGGTAGAGTGAGGGGGGGACCTGGAGCACCTGAGGGCACCTGAGGGCACATATGGGGAGGGGACTCCATGGGTACTCCACCCGCAAGTGATCTTTAGGGGAACCATTCAGAGGAGTGCACAAAGCCAGCAAGGCGTACTTACTCTTATGCCTGCCCATAAATTCCTCGTACTTGCTCTCCCAAAGTTTCTGAAGAGCCTCTTTGTGTACAACATCCCATCCCTGACGGTAGAGGGATGAGCAAGTGAACAAGGGGACCACAGAAGCAGACACGAGTGCTACTTACATATTCTCCATCTGACTGCTGTCACTTAGCCACAATAATAAGGATACTGCTAGGGATGGAACCAGCATCAAAGCGGGCACCGGGCATTAAAAAAAAAAGGGAGGGGAGGAATCCATTTTGGGAAGGGAAGGAGAGGACCATCAAACGTTACCAACACCCTTTACTCACACTTTGTCCTTGACATAAAGTCGTCATATTTTTCTTTCCAGATCTTCTCCAGTTCTTCCTTGATAACAATATCCCATCCCTGTGTGCAAGGCAAAATATCCATGGCAAGCTGCCTCACAAAGATAGGAACCAATACACTCTAAGAGGCCTGACTCTAAGTGTATCCCTCGGAGGGCAACTTATTAATCTACCTAAGGCACTCTTGCTTAACTTTTATGCTTAATACAAAATGAAAATTACGTAGATATTAGTAACATTATATTGAGCTCTGAGAGTTTGTTAAGGGAAAGAGAGACAAATGTTCCAGCTTAATGAAGACTGTGACTAATTGGAAAACTGATAATACTGACAAAATCTACGTTAGAGAATCCACTGAGAAGGAATTACACATAAGAAATAAGATAAATTCAGAAGTTATAAGAAGAGAGAATGGAGACTCGCCTGAAAGTGAGAGGTTTAAGACCATATTCTTCTATATTTATAGTTACCCCTTACTGCGTAGAATTTTCAGCTAAGACTAATGTAATTGTTTTTAAAGCTTTCACTAACTCATATATATATATATATATATATATATATATATATATAATATATATATATATATATATATATATATATATCACTAACTAGATAATGGTGTAGCTACAACTAGCCAGGTTAAAACGCCGTCTTTCCTATACATTCAGATCAGAGATGAGGTTAATAAATAAAGGGAAAAAGGGAAGTGGTTAAAAAAATTAATTAGTAGATAATAATTATAATAACAATGAGGAAAAAATCATCATAAAATAGAGAAAAATAGATACACATTTATTAAAAAAAAGAGGTAAGAGAAACATCATTATATCAAAAATATCAGAAAATGGTTACAAAAATCTTATATAAAAAAATCAAGGCAGATCAACCTAAACTCTGGATATGAATTAAAAAAAAAAAAAAAATTCTTTGGAAAAAAATTAATGAAAATAATGGAATTTGTGATACGAGATTCATCACTGGAAAAGGGGGAAACCTACCACTATGTTAATGGTATCATAATGGGATGTCTAAAGATGCTACTGTGTGCGTGGCAACATAATAACATGTCTAAAGATGCTACTGTGTGCGTGGCAACATAATAACATGTCTAAAGATGCTACTGTGTGCGTGGCAACATAATAACATGTCTAATGATGCTACTGTGTGCGTGGCAACATAATAACATGTCTAAAGATGCTACTGTGTGCGTGGCAACATAATAACATGTCTAATGATGCTACTGTGTGCGTGGCAACATAATAACTGTCTAAATGATGCTACTGTGTGCGTGGCAACATAATAACATGTCTAAAGATGCTACTGTGTGCGTGGCAACATAATAACATGTCTAATGATGCTACTGTGTGCGTGGCAACATAATAACATGTCTAAAGAATGCTACTGTGTGCGTGGCAACATAATAAACATGTCTAAAGATGCTACTGTGTGCGTGGCAACATAATAACATGTCTAATGATGCTACTGTGTGCGTGGCAACATAATAACATGTCTAAAGATGCTACTGTGTGCGTGGCAACATAATAACATGTCTAAAGATGCTACTGTGTGCGTGGTTTTCTAGCGGAACGTCTAAAACTTTCCTGGAATTAACTGATGCGCTTACATCAAGCTCTATACAGGGGGTTTAAAAATGATGGACCCATAATATATGAAATATATATATGAAATTGATTTATCATTTTCAAACATATTGCATCTGTTCAACTTTGGCACAATGTTGGTACAAGAATAATACTTACGCCTTCAAACAGTTGCTTTTTGTCATCGTAGGTTCTCCTGTCTGTGCGCCTCTCGAATTTGGAGGCGGTCTGGATCTTGGGCTGGAAATAAATATTTTAGGATCTCAGTTACTTCATAGATATGTTGAGCTTCGTCGGTATTAAAGTTAAGTCTAATCTTTATTGAATAACAAATGAATAATAGTCATGAACAATCTGGAATAACAAATTCCTAAGACAAGTCACTTACAAAACTCACATTACGAAAACATTATTATTATTATTATTATTATTATTAAAGATTAGCCGGTATTCTCCCGGCCCGGGCCTTTTCCAAGTGGTGGCCCGGCCTTGGCTCCCTCTTTAGGGAATGTCTGAGACCTAAGTCTCCCATGGGAGGAGGCACAAGTACCTCCTCATCTTTGGGACCAACTGTCCCCAGGCCTAGCCACAAGCTAGGCCTCTCTGGTCTGCCATCCCCGCCCCAAGGGAACAAATGGGAATGACAGTCTTATGAGCTAAAGGCTCGGGCTCAGGCACCTACCCTACCCTAGAAGGGTTAGGCATGGTATCGATGTACGAAAACAGATAAGGAACCGGGAATATTTGGCTCAGTAATCTGGGATCTCTCTCAGCGCCGTCATCTGTGCTGAGATAAATCTCCTTTTCACGGGCCGAAATATTTTCAGTTTTGATTCTTGTCTGTTTTCAGAATGCGGGCAGACTATATCTTTCTAATTTCCAAGTTCCTCCAACAAATTCCGATCAACCTGAGTCGTGATGCTAGCATCAAAAGCCTCAGTAATCAAGCCATCAGCCTGGGGGTCAATGACCCCTGGAATCTACTACAGATATATCCCAAGTTTCATTATATTTCTATACTTTTTTCTTATATATAAATGGACACAGATGCAACTAATATGACATTTTACTGCATCTATGGCCATTTTGACGGTAATTCTACCATTACAACGAATTTTCTCATGTTGAGCTAATCAACTTACCGGATGTTTGCCAGTGAGCGCCCTGTGACGGATATAAAAAAATCACATTAATAAAATATATCGACCTTAGTACTCTTATATATCATCATATTTATCATAAGCACAAGTATAAAAACATGTATATACGTATATAAGCAAATGTATATATCCACAAACATGCTTACTATATGGAAAACGGGTTGAATGAAGGAAATAATATAAGTGGAATTTCGAGGGAATTAAATGCATTATATATTATTTTCTTGGATTTTTAGAGTGTTAAAGCCAACATGCAGCAGAAAATGTCCTAATCATCGAAAGAAATGAGCGAAATCGTCGAAATTTAATGTTATAATTCAATTTTGTAATCGCAATGAGCTAAGTGGTTCATCGGGGTACGAACATTGTCTCGTTCAGGTTCATTTGGAAAAAGTAGTGAGCCCAGGGTATATACACGGAGAGGTGTGTATCTTTTAGGGCAGGATATAAACACCGCAAGGTGTATACTTCTCAGTGTATATATACTGAGAGTTTAATACTGACTTTAGGGATTAAAATATTCTTGACTTGTGTTCATAAGGTGACATGCAACCTTCATGACTCTGAATCATGATCGTTTGATTTGTTCATGCTTCATGAACAAATCAACTAATTTCTCAGGGTATTTACACTAAGAATTGTGTATCCCTTAAGGTAGCATACGAGGCTTGTGTATGCGGTATACTCACTAAAAGTGATTTTTAATAGTTAAGTTAGGTAAGGTTGACCAAGAAACGTGACAATTGTTTCCTGACGCGGGTCTTAGTTATAGGTTTGGTAAGATTCGTCAGGAATCAAGACAATTGCTTCCTGACGCGGGTCTTAGTTATAGGTTTGGTAAGATTAGTCAGGAATCAAGACAATTGTTTCCTGACGCGGGTCTTAGTTATAGGTTTGGTAAGATTAGTCAGCAATCAAGACAATTGCTTCCTGACGCGGGTCTTAGTTATAGGTTTGGTAAGATTCGTCAGGAATCAAGACAATTGCTTCCTGACGCGGGTCTTAGTTATAGGATGACTCTTCACTGGAGCTTCTCGTTATCTGACCGAAGCCTCTACTGGCCTACCTGCGAATTATTCACACTGGCTTCATTGTGAATTAATTTTAACCACTGTTTCAGTTATTAAAATATATTGAACTGATGATCCATGATTGCGCAAGCAGCCTTAATGACCACTCGCCAAGTTGGGTGACTCAGTTTCTACGAACCAGCCAAGTCAGAGATTCTTTCTGACTCGACCCAACCAAATCAGTCGAGTTTATGCTCTGCCTCTGCTCTGTATCCATAAAAATTTGCCTGAGTTTTTCGGTAAGTAGGCCTAAACGTCAGGTTACTAGGAAACCCCATATATTTGAATAAGACAGGATTCTTTTTACATTAGAATTTTTGATAATTCGCGCCGACATCGTTTTAATTTTTAGATATAGACGAAGTTGATAAATGTAATCAGTGAACTTGGATTACATTGTGACATTGTGGTAAGTTATATTTTGTAACTTGAGTTCTTGTTGGGATGTTGTGGACAGACTGACGTCTCTTCCATAGTGGGAGTGGGGCCTTCCATAGTGGGAGTGGGGCCTTCCATAGTGGGAGTGGGTCTACCTGTAATGCTGGTGAAGAGCTCCTGATCCGAGGAAACAGTCACCCTTTTTTCACAGCTGAATGACTACTTTGGATTTAATTTAGTGCTGCCCCATGATTATTACTATTACTGCTGTTGCTACTATTACTACTACTGTACTACTACTATATTGTCACTACTATTATTACTATTATACTATTACTACTGTTACTATTACTACTACTGTTACTACTACTGTTATTACTATTACTATTATTATTACTATTATTACTATTACTATTATTATTACTATTATTATTACTATTACTATTATTATTACTATTACTATTATTATTACTATTACTATTATTATTACTATTACTATTATTACTACTATTACTATTATTACTACTATTACTATTATTACTATTATTACTATTATTACTATTATTACTACTATTACTATTATTACTACTATTACTATTATTACTACTATTACTATTATTACTACTATTACTACTATTATTATTACTATAACTATTATTACTACTACTGTTAATATTACTATCACTACTACTGTTAATATTACTATCACTACTACTGTTAATATTGCTACTACTGTTACTACTACTATTACTACTACTGATACTATTACTACTATTACTATTACTACTACTAACTACTATTATTACTACTGTTATTACTACTACTTTCAACTCGTAAATACAAATTATAGAGATAAATTATTTGTAAAGTTTTGAAATTTCAAATCTTAAATTCCACTTTTTTTCCCTCTGAAAATAAGAGATTATTTACTGTGACTGAACGAATGAATATGAAAAATTATCTGAAGGGTAAAAAAAAAATTACTGAGTGTTAAACCAGCACCGAATCATTGTTAAACCAGCACTCGTAAGGCGTTAAACCAGCACTGAAACATTAAACCAACACTGAAACAGTGTTAAACCATCACTGAAAACTCATTAAACCCAGCTCTGAAAAGGCGTTAAACCAGCACCGGAACAGTGCTAAACCAGCACTGAGGTAGTAAAACCAGCATTTGAGAACAACATCAATCATAAAACAGTGAGTCACAACACAAGGATTAATATGTTTAAGGTCAGGAGTGTTAGGATCAATTAGAAAAAAATTGTACATTAGGTATAAAAAAAATACCTGGCAAGCACCATGGATCAAAAAAAATAAATGTACACATATGATTCTTGTATACAAGGGTCGAGCGGATAGTGTATCATCGTACAAGAGTGAAAGTCATATAACAAGGGTCTAGATAGTGAAATCGTGCGTACAAAAGAAAGTCATATATACAAGGGTACTCGGATAGGTGGATATCGTGTACAAATGAAAGTCATATATAACAAGGTCTAGGATAGTGAATCGTTGTACAAAATGAAAAGTCATAATATACAAGGCGGTCACCTAGGAAGTGAATCGTGTACAAATGAAAGTTCCATATATACTAAGGAGTCTAGGATAGTGAATCGTGTACAAATGAACGTTCATATATACAAGGTCTAGATAGTGAATCTGTACAACATTAAAAGACTCATATAATCACAAGGGTCTAGGATATGAATCGCGTGTACAAATGAGAGTCATATATACAAGGGTCTAGGATAGTGAATCGTGTACAAATGAAAGTCATATATACAAGGGTCTAGGATAGTGAATCGTGTACAAATGAAAGTACCTATAAACAAGGGGATCTTAAGGATAGTGAATCGTGTACAAATGAAAGTCATATATACAAGGGTCTAGGATAGTGAATCGTGTACAAATGAAAGTCATATATACAAGGGTCTAGATAGTGAAATACGTGTACATAATGAAAAGTCATAGATACAAGGGTCAAGGATAGATGATATCGTGTCAAAATGAAAGTCATATATACAACGGGTCTATAAGGATAGTGAAATCGAGTACAAATGCGAAATTCATATATACAAGGTCGCATAGAACGTGAATCATGTACAAAGAAAGTCAAATATGCAAGGTGTCTAGGATAGTGAATCATGCTATAAAAAGTTGAGAGGAGGCAAATGATAATAGTCATATATACAAGGGTCTAGGATAGTGAATCATGTACAAATGAAAGTCATATATACAAGGGTCTAGGATAGTGAATCATGTACAAATGAAAGTCATATATACAAGGGTCTAGGATAGTGAATCCGTGTAAATATGAAAGTACAATATACAAAGGTCAAGGCTAGTGAATCATGTACCAAATGAAAGTCATATAACAAGTCAAGGGATAGTGAAAACGTGTACAAATGAAAGTCATATATAGCAAGGGTCTAGATAGTGAACATCGTGTACAAATGAAAGTCATATATACAAGGGTCTAGGATAGTGAATCGTGTACAAATGAAAGTCATATATACAAGGGTCTAGGATAGTGAATCGTGTACAAATGAAAGTCATATATACAAGGGTCTAGGATAGTGAATCGTGTACAAATGAAAGTCAAATATTACAAGGGGTACTAGGAAAGTGAATCATGTACAAATGAAAGTCATAATACAGGGTCTAGTATAGTGAATCGTGGTACAAATGTCATATATACAAGGGTTAGATAGTGAATCGTGTACAAATGTCATATACAAGGGTCTAGGATAGTGACTCGTGACAAAACTGAGTCATTTATACAAGGGTCTAGGATAGGGAATCGTGTACAAATGAAGAAGACATATACTATGGGTTGAATATGGAAAGGATGTACCGGGGAAACCCTGAGATTAGAGCAATAGCAAACAGCACTGGAGCACAGAAAAAGCGGCGAATCTCATGAACTTTCAGGAAATTGACCACTTGGATTGCAGCGAGCTGGCAAGGGGCGACAGCCACAGCCAAAAGCTAGCAGCACTGCAACAAGCAACACAGGCCACAAGTAGCAACAGCAGACCACACGAGCAGCAGCGTGAGTAGAGCAACAAGAAGAAGCATCAAGATTATTACAAGTAACAGCAGCGAGTCATTAACTGCATCAAGCGACGTGTAAGTCCTCTCAATCCGCCGCGCGATCACCAGGTTATATGTGAGAGGAATCCTGAGCTCTGAGGATATCCCATTAATATCTTGAGTCACTCTTATTATGCAGGTATCGCTCGGCTTCTAACAAGGAGAAATCGCCAATGCATCTTTCTCATTCTTACCTGTTACTCAAAAACTCGTCACATGGAAAGATTTCTGGTTGGTTTAATTAAAACACAAGCCAAATGGTTTAGCAGGCTAGGAGCGCGGTGTTGCAGACACTTCGTGTGTTGCATAGCAACACTTATATTGGGGTTTTACGATTCACTCGCCGTGGGTTCTAACTCCGACCCGTTCCGTGTTTTAATACAAAAATATTATGCTCCGATCAAACCTCTATACACGATGCTGTGCTATAGAGCAAAATGTTCACAAATAGTGGTTTGATGTGTGAAAAGTATCATTTTTAGTAGGTTCAGATGAACACTTGAACACGTGTTCAACCCCCCCCCCCCCAATACGTAAACATAAGACCGGTGTTCAACTCCACGTTAGCTACTGGTGCCCATACTAATTACAATACTTTTTGTAGTAAACTGTATTTTAATTAACGAGGTTGCTTGCTTTCACCTGTTATATTCCCACCTACTTCTGTTTAGTCTCGATTGATCAAACCTGGTACTTCGAATCCGAGGAAGTCTCCTGCGATATTCTATTGAATATTATTTAAATAGGACATGATCTAGGAATTTGAGGGAAAGTTCGTCTGGGTTATTCATGAAAAGGGATGGTGAAGACTTGGTACTCCGTCCCCTAATGTGTAAAAAAGGGTAAGTGTTCCTTGCCATTTCTTACATATTAGGATAATGATAGTCACGACTCGTATAGCAAGCATCATGTAATATAATCAGTTTATTATATTTATAGAATTAGTTTATATTAAAGTGGGATTCGTTAGCTATGTCAGGTTCTGGATAGGTAAGACGAACGACGGACCAGTTGTTAGATATTGCAGCAGTGTGTCAGACAGGTGAGCCATAGAGCCAACATCACCAAACGGGTCACTGTACGGCGAATACGGTCATCATAGACCGTATAACCGTGTCGTGTTCATTAATCCGACACGTGCGGTTATAAGAAAAATTCGGGATGTCTAGAAAACAATGGATCCAGCCGGCATATCTAAAAAAAAAAAAAGAACTGAATTCTTTACATCGAAGTCAGACTCTTTAAAAAATCGGCAATGCGAACCATATGCAGACAGTTCATCATTGTACAGTTTTTCCAGATGCATGAAAATCGTCAATGAATTGATTCGCTACTAAGCACTTGTCAGCTCGCATGAAAGGGGCGACAAATTTAAGGTACTGAGAGTTACTGTAATCCTCTCAAAACCCTTTTAACCTAAAAAGAAAGAATATCTGGGAACAAAATACGTTTATCAGCCTAGGCAGTATTAAACGATTTCGCATTTCGAAGTGACGGTGGAAAGACGTTGCATAAAATACTGACACGATGGAGAGAGAGAAAAATTCAGGATGGTGAGGTCTTTTACAGACAACGTTTCGCCCTCGCAGGGGGGTGGGGGGTTATCGAATCACAAACAGATCAATTTGTTTAATGAAAGCTGCTGTAGCGTGGGAGAAACGTCGACAATAAAGGATCACATTATACTGCATTTCTCTCTCCATTACTCATTACTTCCAGTTTAGTGTTAAATATACGAATAAATGATTCTGAGACAGTTTACGGTCTTTATTTCTATTATCCTTCATTACTTCTCTGCCTATTTAAAAATCGGCAACAGATAATTTTTTTTCCTCTCGTTGCGGCTACCTATACTTAACGTCCAAAAAAAAAAAATCGAAAATTCAAAATATTTGAAAAAAATAGGCTGAAAATTTTATTCTTCATCGTTTAATCGTATTACACAACACTTGAGGCCGTGTGGTGATACGTTATTTAGACCGTAGACATCCACTGAGTATTTTGTATCATCGTGAGGTAAAAACAGTGAGAGAATCATTGTGAAACCGAACCATATCATTTTTTCTTTTTTTTGAATTTCCCGAGAAGCAAAACGCTGCGGCGGGAGAGAGAAACGTAGATTTGAGTTTCCAAGTGCACAGCTCTACAGAGTATTCCTAAATCCACAGCAAATCCAAAGCCATGCAAAGGCTTTTCCATGTGAGGGGGATGATGTCAAGCCATCCCAGTGTAGAAACGGACCTAAAAAGCCCTAAGTAACCCAGGCTGGCTTGCCTGGGTTCGCACGCACCACCAATCACCTTCTGACTTCGAAGCTTTAATAAATAATTAGTCTATGGCTTGCTGCCAAACATATCTACTGGAATTAATTCAAAATTAGCAGTATAGCAAGTCAAAAGAGCCTAAATGGCGTTGCAGAAGAAGAAAAAAATTAAAGCCAAAATACGGCTCAGCATTCACGCCAAAAAGTAAAACAGTATATGGAAAATGGCTGTCAAAAATATTTTACAAAAAAAAAAATGAAAATCAAAAATAATATAGGAAATATGCAAAAAAAAAAAAAATAATATACAGGATAACCACAATGAAAACATTCATTTAAAATCACTTAAGTATTTCGGAGCAACTGGATGGCTATCTTCAGAGATTATTTTCGAAGCGAGCGAAATCAGTGACTCGGAACTGACGACGGGAATTAAATTTTCGAATCGTTGATACCGGGCTTAATGTGACTAATATTATCCACAACACGCAATGGGTACATTTTTTTTTTTTTGACCAGTGCCTCGCGTTAGTACATTAATTTTTTTATTCCTCTTACCATAAGCAGTTTTTTTTTTAGGTAAAGTTGAATCAGTTGGGCCAAAAAAATAGTGTTGAAATATATATAACTGTATCCTATGTATCAAAAAAAAATCTTGTTATATTGAAAAATTCTATGTTCAGCAATAAATTCTAAAATAAACAGTTTATTTTTTAATGGTATCCTACAGTTGGAAAATTATATTCATCATACAGACAAAATCCATTAAATTCCTCAATTTCATTATTTTTAGTAAAACTGGATAAACTTGCAGAAGTCGAGGTTAAAACACGAATATTATAATCTTGATAATAAAATGTTATTTGTGTAGTTAAATATTACTGAGTGTAGTTAAATATTGCTGGTCTCGACACTCCTGCCTTAATAATTGTTTCTTAACACTTGAGATACTGTATAAGTAGAGAAGTTTTTATGTTAGTCATGGGGGAACGAGACGTCCCACAACGTGATTACAATAGTACCAGCAGTTTGTTTATGTCTGTTAGATTTCTTGGAGTCTACCTGGAGGGCAATCCGGGGATCAGCGCGAGTCCCCCCCGCGGCCCGGTCCATGACCAGGCCTCCCTGACATGGGAGGAAGAATCCTATGATGAGTTTTCGGTCCGAAGTTTTTTTTTTTTTTTTTTTTTTACTGATTTGACCTAGAAATAAACGTAGTATCCATCAAATACTCTAGATTCAGTCTTTAAGTTTTGAAAGGAACGAGAATTCTTAAAAGCTAAATTTATATTCAGTGTTTGGGTCCCAGTCACCAGCCGGTGACTGGGAGAAGAAACGTTTCTGGTGACAAGATTACTTGTTTTGTCATTAACAAATTTAAGATTTAAATGCGGAAGACATTCGGGAAAATATTAATTTTGACAGCAATCTCTCTGAAGATGTCCACCTCGTTAAACGAAACTACTTGCAGTACCTTCTGAATGTGTTAACTGTCGTTATATATATATATATATATATATATATATATATATATATATATATATATATATATATATATATATATATATATATATATATATATATATATATATATTATGAGAGAGAGAGAGATATGGATAAATATATGTAGTCTAAAAAAATTTTTTATCAAAACGTAAGAAAAATTAGAATAAATATAAAAGTAACAGCAATGTAATCGTAGAGCGAGGAGGTGATGGTGGAGCTGTGAGGCTTCACACTTACTCTGGGTCCAAGCCCCGCTTTTGAGCCTTATGCCTCAACTGTTGCTTCTGGCGTTCTTTCAACTCCTTCAACTGGAAAAATGCGGGAAATTTAATATTTCAGAAACGGTTCTGCTGTGCAGGACGAAGCTACCAATGAGCAGCCGCTCTTAGATTTTTTTTTTAATTTTTAGCAGGAGGAAATATATTGCATGAGAAGAGACCCGGTGAAAGCTGGGTCGTCGAAGATAAGAAAAATCAGTGGAAGGTAAGTGTTGGGTGATCCACTAGACAGCTTCTTACTATCTTCTCGGCCCGACGTTGGTTAATCATTTATAACAATGAGTTTGGTGGGTGTTAGGAGGCGCCACCAGGGTGAGTTAGCTTATAATCAGTCCGCAGTACACGACCAATGTCCCCGTTGAGGCGGAAATGCTCTCTCTCTTGTCCATGAAGTATTTAAGAGTCTCCTTTTAAACCCTCAGGATCTCCGGAACTGTCAAACACTCAGTATATCTGAGCAAAGTTGAAGGATGAGACGACTGTTATCAGGTGCGAATTGTTTACCAAAAGCCTCATATTTCTTGAACCATAAAATTAAGCAGGATATTTTATTTCTTGAGCATGCATTGTATTTATTTTTTCTCATTACTCTCAAGTTATATGATTTTTTTTAGTCACTGAAAAGGTCCCTGGGTGTAGAATTCCTGAGGCTATTGCCAAACTAATGCTAAGGGTTAAATATAATAGCTATGGGATGGGTAAACTTGTAACTTTAGATCTTGAGATTAAGAGATCGTCTGTGGTGCAGGAATCTTGGAAAACTCGGTTCTTGAAAAACAAGACTTGGGTTTAAGTGGTATAAACCCCATGCAGAGAAGGTAATAATAAACCGTGTGAGAAACCAAGTACAGTAATAAAATAAATGGGTGGTGAAGCGAAAGGTGAACAAGAGATATGTCAAAGAAATGACTTACTCGGCGTCAAGGCCCTTCTTCAAGGCCTTTTGCCTGAGCTGTTGTTTCTGACGTTCTTTCAACTCCTTCAGCTGTAAAATCATAGCACAAATACAATTGAATGAACCTTGTCACGTTCTTAGACCAGTCTGAGCAGCTCCTGTAGGGATTAACAGTCTAGAACTTAGTTGTGAACGTAAATGCTGGAGCTGAGAGTGAAGGTGAAGTAAGCTAAGACTTCAAGGTATTTACGGAAGCTGTTAGAAGCTCGGAATGAGCAGTGCGTCCTGTGAGCGACTCACAAAACCGAACAGATCACTATAACTGAGAAAGAATTGAGCTTTGATGTGTAATGAACACATCAATGTTCCAATAAACCCATAACGAGAGAGACGCGAAATTTGATGAGCCGTGCATTTTGACCTCAAATTGAGATCTTCTTCAGATCATCTAATGAATAGGACCTCACTTAGAAGTCAAAAATATTCAGCTGCTTAAATTTCATGTACTGCCTCGTGGTGGGTTTATTTACAGACGAAAAAAAAAACTATTTTTGGTTAACTGAAAAAGGGTCAACACACAAGCAGAAAATATAAACCAGTTAGTTGCGCATCTGACTGATAAATGCTAGTTGAACTTATGAAAATAAACACGGACGTTGCGGGGGAAAAAATATACACTTATGATACGCATTATTTTAAGGTTAGCTTTCTACAGCAGCCGCCGTGTGTCCCCTCCCTCCATGGAGTGCGTATTGAAGCTGACCAACAACTACAGATTCCCCGTGTGTCCCCTCCCTCCATGGAGTGCGTATTGAAGCTGACCAACAACTACAGATTCCCCGTGTGTCCCCTCCCTCCATGGAGTGCGTATTGAAGCTGACCAACAACTACCGATTCCCCGTGTGTCCCCCGCCCTCCATGGAGTACGCTTATTTACAAGTAACTTCATTTACTCGTTCCTTTAGTCGGGTCATATCTCATGACCTCTCATCCCCCAGCCACTGTATCAACTCTACGGTGTTTACCCTTCAATATGAAACACGAACTGTGTTCCCTCCTCACCTGGTCCATCTGGTCCTAGCTTTACACTTCAAGGTATATATGACAAGTTGTATACACCGACAGGTTATATATATTCATTGAATGATTTACTTTAATCCCTATTTTGGAAAGAATAGTAGTCTTCTTACTCGTGTTTAGGCAATATTCATCTCAAATAACCCATCCTCACACGCGAAAAATCTGCAGGTGGAACTTGTTATAAGTAGGGAGCCCTGTCTATGTAAATACGAGATGAATAGAATACGAGAGATCTTTGCTCTGAAGAGGAGATGGTTGACGATAAAGTGTGTGTGTGTGTGTGTGTGTGTGTGTGTGTGTGTGTGTGTGTGTTAGACACAGGTGGTAGATAACTTACTCGGGATCAAGGCCTCTTTTTAAGGCTTTATGCCTGAGTTGTTGCTTCTGTCTCTCTCTGAGTTCCTTGAGCTGCAACGCACCAACACAGAGTATATCATTAATATCTTGCCTCATTCTTCACCTAACACATGACGCCCACTGAGAACTTGTCTTTAGTTAAAAACAATACCTAAAATTCAGAATCGGAGAGATTTTTTTTTTTAGCTTCGCCAATGGAGAGGGGGGGGGTTATGTTAGCTTGACTATATCTGACTTTAAAATAAAAAATTTGAGGTGGGTGTTCCAGACGAGCTTTGTTATGGTTAAGTAGAAATAAATTAAGAAAAGAAGCAGTAAAGCAATGAGGGTTATGCTTTTGATAGCTGACATTTCTGTTTTAAGGAAATCAAAATGAACTTTGAAAGAAAAAGTAATTAGGAAATATTTTAAGAGAACACAGCCTCCCTCTTTCTTGCTGTGGAAGGGGGCAAACACCCTTTCTTTACTCTCTTCTATATCTGGACCTTCCCGTCATTCGTTCGAAAGGTCAGGAAAAGGGAAACTCAAAATGCATCATGTCCTAATGGCCTAAGTAACATGCACGAAAAAAAATAACTGAAAGTAATACAAATGGAGCTCAGGTTTCACCTTTGAAAAACAAGGATTTAAATCATGCTTAAAATAAGAGCCTAAATTTTTTTTTTTCCTGGGTTTTGGAAGTTGGGTTTCACGAGGAAAAAAGAGTAAAATATGTGAAGGGTAAAACATGTGAAATTCTGAAACAGAATACGTGAGTTAAGGGAATCCAAAATATCCAAAATACATAACTTTTCACATGTTATTGTCTGTAAATAATTGGCTGCTTCTATATTACTTTGATAATTAAAGATATAATTAAAATTTCCCTAGATAATGTCAGCTAAATTGAAACTTTATTAAATTTAAAAAAAAAATGAATGACTCTGGTAAAAGTGTATATAATTCAAGATTCTATCATATCGTTTTCAAAATTTGTAGATCCAGCTTAGAAATAACTTTAATGTAGAAAAAAATTAGATTTCTAAATTTTAACTGTTTTCTGTAATGTATCACTCGCATCTGTAATTAAAAAAAACGGAAAAATGCTCTCAGATATTCTCAAAAGATTTGCAATTTTTTTTTTTGGCACAATTTAAAAATGTCTGAATGCTGCATTGCAATCAGCCAAATTTTTTTTAATTAGTCTATATTTTGGTCAGAATATGATTAGAAAAAAAAATTTTCTTCACTAGAAAACCTGAAGAGACACTACGAGAGCATATTTAAGACTGAAATGTATCGCCCAAATTTTTTCTTAAGCTACGAATAAAAAAAATTCTTAAATATATTTTATAAATGGAAAGCAAACTTTTAACTGCTCTTAAAAAAGCATATTAATTTCCTAGGCTTATTTCAAAGTTAAACTAAGTTGCTAATTTGAAAACGGGAATCAGCGCTGAATCTTGAAGTTCAACACAGAAACTGAGAGAAAAGGTGATCCAAGCCTTTGTTCACGAGATCAAACCAACGCAAAATGACCTAAATGGCTTTAGCTCTTTAATGAAAATAATGCGTGACCAAAAGCCACAATACTATGACTGCAACAATTTGCAACTCAAATCTGAAACGAAAGTTGATTAGTTTCAGCCTTCCACGATTTAATCATGACTTTGGAAGGATCAAAATGGCATCTAGTTTTTTTTTTGTCTAAGAGTTCGTTGTAAATATAAATATGAGTATTATTGCAGTTATATAAAGTGCTAAAAGTGGGCTATACAGTGCTGGGAATAATGAAGGCTCGATCCTCCTTCCACATAGCACGCAACGAAGGTGTTCCCTAGACTTGCAACAATCCTGAGAGCAAGTGAGGTATCACTTACGTCGTAGTCCTGTCTCTTCATCCTCTCCTCCATGTCGTACTTCTCTGTCTCAAGTTTGACGATGAGGTTCCACATTTCGTCAGCCTTGCCGCGGAGGCTGCTAGCTCCGATACCATCAACGTTGAGGGGTTTTACGCGAATGGAGAGAGCAATTTTCTTCTCCTCGGCCAGCTGCTCGCGGGTCTTGCCCAGCTCGCCCTTGGCCGCCTGGATGTTTGAAAGCTGCAAGAACAAGATGCAAGGGTTAGTGGCCCCTCTTGCAAAGCTGCAGACGAGGTATAAGGATTTCACACTATCGTAAAATTAGCAATTTTGCGTGAGTGCGAGGGATCCGGTCGGCGACCTTACACACACAGCCTCTAGGTCATAATGTGATCCAAATAATCGAATCTGATCATATTCTTATACAGAATTGTCCCAAATCACATTATTCACTCGTGGCCTAAAACTGATTAAACCGTTCTGTACGTAGCTATTGGATCAGGATTAGGTGAAACGTGTTCATTACGAACAAAATACTCAGAGGAATAGAACGAGTGGAGAGGAGAAGTTCCTTGAGATGCTAAGCTAAACAATCCTCTCTCAGCTGTGAACTCAACAGATAAATCCTAGTATTCTTTACAAATATATATTACTAACAAGCTTGTGCAAAATTTATTATTGAGGAAAAAAAAAATATCGGAGAGTGATGCACAGTTACTTTATTCCTAGTAGTAACTAGGCATCTAGTAGTTGAATATTGTTAGGTAAAGGGAGACAGATGTAACTAATATATTATTGTGACAAAGTTTGGTTCTCCAGGAGCCACTATACAATGTTACATTAGTTGTATCTAATTGTAACTAGCTTTTTGTTGGTAATTATTCTATTATTACTAATTGAATATTGGTGGTATTTTGAGAAGGGTGGGATGGGGAAGGGGGGGATAGTCGATAGTGGTATACCATCCATTAGGCCTTGGAAAGAACTCCAGTTAGGTAACAGTTTCGGTCCTGGTACCTCAGGGGCCCAGGACTGAAACGTGTATATTTGAGTCTCGAATTTCACGGTTTATACCAAGCTGTTAGTCTGAACAAACAACAAAGGCGTGACCTTGACAGCCACTCAGTGTGACCTTGACAGCCACTCAGTGTGACCTTGACAGCCACTCAGTGTGACCTTGACAGCCACTCAGTGTGACCTTGACAGCCACTCAGTGTGACCTTGACAGCCACTCAGTGTGACCTTGACAGCCACTCAGTGTGACCTTGACAGCCACTCAGTGTGACCTTGACAGCCACTCAGTGCGACCTTGACAGCCACTCAGTGTGACCTTGACAGCCACTCACCTTATCACCTCCCTTGGAGCCAAACTTCTTGACACCATCCTGTAAAAATAATATGTTTCATGTAAACAAAACGAAACTTAAATTGCAGTCACTGTCAAATATCATCAAGTACTTTTTCTTCTGGAAATCTTTTAATAATCTTAACATGAACATTTCTATACAATGTATACATATATTATTATTATATATATATTATAATTTATAATGATATATATTTATAATATTATATATATATATATATATATATATATATAATATATATTATATATATATATATAATATAATTACATACATACGTATATGTACGTACCATCGTGGCACCGGAAAACTTAATACATATATAGTTGTAAATTGTCACACTTTAAAATATCAACATTGATACATAAAGAGGATTGGTTAAAGACGATATCAACACAAGATCAATAATGCCCACCAACTTAAAAGGAAGGTGTCTGCAACACCCAAGACAACTCATGTTAAAATAGTGGAAAAGATAATTTGGAATCCTGCAAATACCCCATTGAGATAACCAAAAGAACCACGATTTGTTGTGTTTTAAGGTAAAAAAAAATAATCAGATACATAGAGAAGGAAAATAATTGAGCATATAGTTGGAAAAACAACAATGTTATAAAATATATCAGTAAACAATGGGTTAAAAACGGACGGGGACATGACAAACCACACCAGCATCCTCTGAGTCAACTCTTCTGTGTTATGAGATGAAAAAGAGAGAGAGTTATGGGGTGGAGGTGGGGCTGCCAGGGAGGGCCTTCATCATCCATATTAATATTTAATCCATTTTTTGAGGGACAGAGGGAGGAGTTGACAGCAGGAAAATTAAAAAAAAAAACAAAGGGACGTGCATATACTTTCTACTTGTAATTTTTTTATCCATTGCTTCAGGAGAAACTGAATCTCACCTCCTGGAAAAGAAAACGAGAAAGTGATGCAGCAGGCTGAAGAGACCTTAAGATATTATCTATGAAAACATTGTAGAATTAAGAAACTACAAAGAAAATGGGGTAATATGCCATTGTCCAGTATGAAGCTTCATTATACTAAACTATTTTATCTTAATAGTTTAACTATTTCATCATATTCATCATTAAACACAATTGTGTGTAACATGCATACACACACACAAGCATTATATATATATATATATATATATATATATATATATATATATATATATATATATATATACACAAGGTTCCTAGAGAAGTGAAAATAGAAACACTTTCTTTCTCTGAAACACTATTCTGATATATATATATTATATATATATATATTATATATACACAGTAGTGCACTATCAGACGTGTAAGTCGAGCTACATATATTTTAAGCAGCTACAACACAGTCTTGTACAATGTGAAGAAACACTGATTTTCTAATGATATGAATCTTAGTGGTAATTCAGGCTACAGTGGTGCGTCTCAGTGCTTACGGTGTGTTTAGTAGTGTTGGGTATGTGTAGTAGTAGTGTGTTGGGTATGTGTAGTAGTAGTGTGTTGGGTATGTGTAGTAGTAGTGTGTTGGGTATGTGTAGTAGTAGTGTGTTGGGTATGTGTAGTAGTAGTGTGTTGGGTATGTGTAGTAGTAGTGTGTTGGGTATGTGTAGTAGTAGTGTGTTGGGTATGTGTAGTAGTAGTGTGTTGGGTATGTGTAGTAGTAGTGTGTTGGGTATGTGTAGTAGTAGTGTGTTGGGTATGTGTAGGTAGTGTGTTGGGTATGTGTAGCAGTAGTGTGTTGGGTATGTGTAGCAGTAGTGTGTTGGGTATGTGTAGCAGTAGTGTGTTGGGTATGTGTAGTAGTAGTGTGTTGGGTATGTGTAGCATAGTGTGTTGGGTATGTGTAGCAGTAGTGTGTTGGGTATGTGTAGCACTAGTGTGTTGGGTATGTGTAGCAGTAGTGTGTTGGGTATGTGTAGCAGTAGTGTGTTGGGTATGTGTAGCAGTAGTGTGTTGGGTATGTGTAGCAGTAGTGTGTTGGGTATGTGTAGTAGTAGTGTGTTGGGTATGTGTTGCAGTGATTTGGGTATCTTGCTGGTCGTCGCAACACTTGTCATTCTCGCAACTTTCTGGACATGCAGACATCAGTCACATGTCAATAATTTGGTTTGGTACAATAGATGCGCAGAGCAACTGCTAGCCTGTGAGGGCGTCTAGTGTGACCAGTGTCAAAGGACTTCGATCTGTGAGGCAGAAAGATTACTTAAACATGATCACTGAACTCTCAAATTGATATGTATCGTTATCTGATGAACAGCGCATATATAATGAAAATGGCGATGTTGTGTGTGTGTGTGTGTGTGTGTGTGTGTGTTTGTGTGTGTGTATGTGTTTAACGAGGGAAAGGAGTACCAGGGGTTGGGGGAGATGGTCGTCGGGAGAAAGTCTCTCCGCCTATCTTCTAGAGGCGCAACACACAATACTCACGCTAGAACCCTTCATCATGGACTGCCTCTTCTTTTCGACCTCTTCAAGACGTTTCCTTTTTTCCTCCTGCTCGCGTTGCTTCCTCTCTGTTTCTTCACGCATCTTACGGTCCTCCTCGGCCCTCTTTTGTTCTGTCAGCTTCTTCTCTTCTTCAGCCCGGAGGATCTAAGGTTACGAAAGCGGTTACTCGAGTTCGACCGAACAAGGTCAAATATATGGAGAAAAATCAGAGATGGAGAGTAGATGGGTAGAGAAAATACAAAAAAAAATAGTTCAAGAAAAATATAAACTAGTCAAAGATGTTTATACAAAGATAAAAATATAAATATGAACACAGAAAAACATGATATAGAAAGATAAACATTGAGATATAATCACAAAAACATTAAGACAGAACGAAAAACATTAAACTGCTAAAATGAAGAAAGAAGCAACACACACACATAGAATTTAACGAAGACGTAGGCAAAGAGTCGAACATTACAATACACAGAGCTGTATAGCCCTTGTGGCTTAGCGCTTCTTTTTTATTATAATAATACGATATACAGATAAAGAAAGAAAACACATACACTGATAGGCGGGCCCAGGAGCTGAGAGTCGGCCCTTACAACCACAGGTACAGACAGGTGGGAACGGGATTACATACTTGGCAACAGAGACAGAGAGAGACAATGAAGCATTGGAACGCACCTTCCTCTTTGCTTGCTTCTCTTTAAGTTTCTTGAGCTCATCTTCTTCCTTTGCGCGTTGTTTCCGCCACTCAGCGATGTACTCTGCCAGTTGCTCATCCAGCTCGGACATCTTTATCTGCTGGCGGTTCTTAAGGAAGTTGGCCCCCTCATCTCCCCTGAGAAGCGACCCCGTAAGATCAGTGTCAAGGTTTGTGTATGTGTGTGTGTGTGTGTGTGTGTGTGTGTGTGTGTGTGTGTGTGTGTGTGTGTGTGTGTGTGTGTGTGTGTGTGTTAAAAATTTACAGAATTTATTTGATATGAATGAAGGGTATATAAAAGACATAAATGTTATAAATATATCCAGTTGTGAAAATAAAAGTACCTGGGAATGCTTTTCAGTGATTTAAACTTAATGGCCTGAAATATCAACAGAAAACTGATAAAAAGTATAATCATTAGCACAAATTTTAATATATAATTAGAATTGCAAGCAAAACAAGAGAACTGACTCACTTCTTCCTCCTCCTTCGGTGATCATCAACGCGTTGAGCAGAAGAGAGGAAGGGAAAAGAAAACAGAATAATTAATACATAGTCACTACCTATTACTTAGTTTTATGAGGAATAAATAAGAGATGTGTGAACAAAAGCTAAAAATTGGTATATTTCCGTCATGTATCAAGGGATATGAGGGAGATCAAGGTATATAACCGAGGGGGGGAGGGGAAACCACACGATAAAAATATGATTTTAAAATACTTTATAAATGTTTAGGGGAAATGTGGGAAATATTCATTAAAGGGAGTATATTTGTTTACTCTCGTGTATTCCTGGAATACACATGGATAGTCAAAAAAAAAAAAATAATAA